TTCTTTTTTTATTTTTTTTTGCTACTTGCATATTGATTTCGCACCAAACTCAACGACAAAATCATCTACACAAAACATCACAAAATCATCCATGAATTGACATCACAAATTCATCTACAACTTCACATAAACATCTAAAAATCATCCACAAATTTACATCACAAAATCATTAACAAATTCACAAAAACATCAAAAAATCATCCATAAATTTACATCACAAAATCATCCTCAAAATCAACACAAAATCATTCCAAAATCATCACAAAGTCATCGATACCCTCCATCTTGCCCGCCATCTGCCACCTCTCCGTGTGTGCCGCCGCCGGCTGCCTCCCCTCCGAGCGCGCCCGCCACCCGCGTCTCCCTCCTCTCCCCTTCGGCGCGCCCGCTGCCCCCCTCCCCCCCCCCCCCCCCCCCGCGCCGCCTCCCGCGCACCCCCGGCCGTCTGTCGCTGCCTACGCCGACGAAAACATCGAGGGGAAGAGGGATCGATGAAGGAGAGTGGAGGGGAGGAGGAGTGGAGGAGTGTAGAAAGAAGATAAGTCTGGAGGCTGAGAGAGAGCGCAAGAGATGGGGATGACGCGGGAATAGAGATATTTATTCCCGGTTGGTATCATCAACCGGAATTAAAGATCTATCTTTACTCTAGATTGGTGTTAGCAACCGGAATTAAAGCTCGTTAGGGGCCTAGCAACTAGTGAACCGGGACTAAAGATATTTTTACTCTCGGTTTCTACTCGAACCGGGACTAATGTGATTTTACCTGACCCAGTAAAGATCACTTCTCCAATAGTAAATACAGCAACCCAGTACCGTATGAGACATTTTATAATGCAACGAATTAATCCGGACATAACTATAAAGTGTCTCATTCGGTACTAGATTGCTTTGATATGCATGGGACGGAGGGAGTAGTTGATACCCCGTGTTATATACCGAAGCGCGCTCAGCCCAGCTTGACAACGACCCCACGCGCGCGATCTTGCGATCGATCGGATTGGCTCGGCGACGGTGGATCCCGGACGTACGTCACGATCGACGCACGGGAGCGCTTGCGCTTGCGCGCGCGCGCGCGTTCGCCGTCGTCCGTCCCTCCTACTTGTTGGACCCGTTCGTCGATCGGTCGCCGCGCGCGCGCGTCTCGTGTTCCACCTCCACACGCGCGTACGCACGGCGCTGAATCGGCCTTCTCTCTCTCACACATACACACAGTTTTTTAAGGGAAGAAGATAACGTTCAATGCATGTGTTCGGCCGGGGCACCGATAGTGGCCTGCATACACGCCAACGCCAAATGCGCTGGTTGAATGGCTACTCCCTCCGCTCCACAGAAAAATAAAACTAAGACCAGACATACAAAAGTGAGTGGATATTCCCTTAAGGAATGGGTTGAGTTCTCCTATATTCTAATCTAATGTTTGTTTTTTTTATGGAGAGAGTACGTTTTTGTGCTGGAGGGCACACTTCACAGCTGCAACCCACGTATGGTCCTTCGTTTAATTTGTCTCTAGATTATTTATTTTTCCTATTCTCCTATACGAAGCTATATACGAGCACTTCTCTGAGACTACTCGTGCCAAGTTTAATAGTTTTGTAGTTTACTTTGAACCGGTGCACTGGTTTAACCACAGAGAAAGAAATCGACCAATTAAACGGAGCTTACTTCACTGCTTGCTTCTGTGATTGGAGAACCATATATAGTACCCCTCCGTCCTAAAATGTAAGGATTTTTCAATCTCGACACAGTCTTTAAGATGCTACTCTGATCAACAATATCTATAAAAATAAAATTTAGTAACATCAATTTTACATGATTGATCTTTTTTTTTGCTATTAATAGTTAAAATTGAAAATGATTGACTTGGCACTATACTAAAAATGCATATATTTTAGTACAGAGAGAGTACTATTCTATATACTAATCTTAATAAGTTCATGACAAGTTGACAACCGGTTTCGTCGTAATTTTATTAATTTTGGATATCCCTGCCATGCAAATCCATCATTCTTCCACGATGTCCATCAAGGGGGATACAGCCGTGAGATGTCAACATAGTAGTATTCTTTTGAACCACGCGATCAGGTTAAACCAATGATGTCGTCATCATCTATTCGTCTCCACGTACGTCGACCAGACGCGCGCCCCAATCATCAGACATTTTCTTCTCCACGAGTCGGGCATTCGGGTTAGTTTAACACTCTTAACTGCCAATTGCCTATACCTTGGAAAAGTCTACTCGTGCACTGTTTTTCCATATCACTCCAAAAAAATCACAAAAGGATATAAAATCTATAATATTATTATAAGATAATTTTGAAAGAATGTATCACGTTCAAGCTAGAAAATCCCACAATAATCAGAAAAAAAAGAGAAATATTTTGATCGTTAGACTCTAGCCGTTTAGATTTTGAGTGATTTAATGGTGCAAATTAACACATCAGAATATCGGGGTTCAACTAGAAAACGACTATATGAAATTGAGACCGTACGGTAAGTTAATTAGACCTTTATGATTAGGAGTCAGATACATCCACATGGAGAGCCTGTAATTAAATACATAGTACAAATCTGATCGTGTAGGACACGTTAACTAACTGTACAAACAAACAAAAAAAATGTCAATCAACCAATACAGAAGGAACAAAACAACGTAGGAATACCATGTATGCATGAGCCAAGTGGCCAGGAACATTAGGCCGGGCGTGCAAACGCAGAAACAAATGTAGTTACTGTAAAGCTTGTCCATCCATCGGAAAATAGGCAACCTCTTATTTAGATTGATTTTTTTTATTATATTGTATAGTGATTGATCAAGTCGTCTCCGCCGTATTGCTGCGTGCGTGCACTTCGCCGCTACCGTAGTCGTCGGCCGCCGACCGCCGCTAGGTCGATCTCCACCTTGCTGTGGCTACATCGATCTCCATCGTGTTGCTGAGCTGCGTGCGCGCACATCGCCGTCGGCCGTCGTTTCCTGCCGCGTGCCATCGTGCCGCAGCTGCCACAACCGGCCATCCGTTTAGTGCGCGCGCGCGGCCGGGTCGCCGGCGCCGCCCTTCTGCGCTCGCGCGAGTTTAGCGATTACTGGCTAAATTAGTTTTCTTCCCTAGTACTACGGTTTTGAAGGTAAAATTGCTTTAAGATGTGTGCATATGTTTGGTGGCAAGATCTGAAGAGGGGTGCCAGGGTCGGCCCTGACTTTTTTTTTTTTGCCCGGTGTAGAAAAAAAAATAAAGACCCCCATTCACCATAAAAATACAAGATAATATTTAAAAACTCAATTTCATTAACGAATTACACACAAATAAGTTTAAAATACCAAAAAGAAATACTCTAGAGTATTTAAAACAATTTATTCTAACAGTTCTAGATGCAAAATCAGTGATGATAGCGTCAATAACAATCTCATCCAGCAGCCTCTTCTCAATCCACAAAGTAACCTATCAGGCTTGGTACCATAGTATACATATTTTGTAGGCCCCTAATTTTTGGAGGCCCAGTGCGGTCGCACTGTCCGTACTGGCCCAGGGCCGGCCATGAGGGGTGCCAGTGCCACACATGCTTTTGTGGCATGAGGTGCCATATAATTTTTTCGATTTTGCTATATCTCACTCGAAAGATTTTTTCTTATCTCTCACTTGATTTTCTCACTCAAATTTACAGTGTATTTTCTTGTAAGTTACAGTGTAATTTATAAAACTTACGCTGTAACTTTTGTAAGTTACACTGTAATTTTTGAATCTTCGCATGTAAATTTTAAATTTTGTATTGGATTTGGTCTTTTTTTGAGGATATGGTATTTTAGTGTTTATTATGGTGTTTTTTAATTGCTTTTTGCTTTTTATTATATCTATCGGATTTTAATCCAAAGATTAAAAATCTGTGTGATACGATAATAAAAATCTTTCGAAAGATGTATAGGTACTCCCTAATTTTTTTCCCGTTCGGTTAGCCCTCAGTGGGTAAAAATCCATGCAATCCCTACCCGATTTTGCTATCCATCTCTCGCGATTTTTTTATGGCATTTGACACTTTTTTGGCCTCCATGCAACCACTTGCAATGCAGCGGCAATTTTGCAGGTCGAACGTTGCATGCAGTGCAGCTCGCCGGCCGGCTGGCACATCGACCAGTGTTACCAAGCTACCCCGCGCGCGCGCGATGATGGAGAAGCACGGTGTCAAGGTGGCCTCTGATTGGCGAGCTGGCCGCCATTAGTACGGCCAACGCTGTTCGGTGAGCGACACCGCCCCTCTCGTCATCGTCGTCGTGAAATATAGAGTTACAGTCCTATATAACTAAAATTACATTTGTAAATTTAGTTGATATGACATGTAAATGCACTGTAATTTTGATAAAAATAATATTTAAGTAAATATATATTTGTATTTTCTTTAAAATATAAAATTACAGTCCTATATAACTAAAATTACATTTGTAAATTCAGTTGATATGACATGTAAGTGGACAGTAATTTTGATAAAAATAATGTGTAAGTAAATATATATTTTTATTTTCTTTAAAATATAAAATTACAGTCCTATATAACTAAAATTACATTTGTAAATTTAGTTGATATGACATGTAAGTGCGCTGTAATTTTGATAAAAATAATGTGTAATTAAATATGTATTTGTTATATTCTTTGGGACCACCTATACATTTGTCGACAAATTTTCTCCTAAAAATTTGACATATATAATTATAGTACAATCGTAGTGTAATTACACTATAACTTGCATGTAACTACAGTGTAACTTGTATGTAAGTTTTACGTAATTTTGAATCGATAGATCTATTACAAGATTTGTTCTTGTGAGGAAGAAAAAAATCACAGCATACACATATATGAAAGGATTTGTTCCCAAGGCCTCAATTTTACCGAAATAACATGTTACGGAGAGATTTTTGAAAGTTACATATAAGTTATATTATAGTTACAGTGTAATTGCATGTAAGTTACTTACGATTGTACTGTAATTACATCTGTCAAATTTTTGGAAGAAAATTTATCAACAAATATATAGCAAAATTGTATTCTTTTGTAGTCCGTTGGATGTAAATCTAAGGGTAGAAAAAATCTAGGTGATTTTTTTTATTGGAAATCACCGGACAAATGGATAGACACAGTCCCTTTCAGGTTCTCTTCCATCACCAAGACACCAACGGAAATCAAGAACTCTTCCATTGTCTGTCTTCTCGCATAAAAGGTTCCACGTGGTCGATGCCTCAGCGTTGTTCTCCTAGGGTTCATTAGCTCGCTGCTGCGCCATGAAGTACAGGAAGGGGGGCAACGCCCCCGCCACCGAGCCCGACGACGACGCCACGACGAAAGGAGGTCACGACGTGCCGCCGAGCATCAAGGTGGACATCGGTGAGTACCATGGAGGAGGTATCGGGAACGGGGACGGTGGCTCGGCCTCGCTCTTCGAGCCGCGGCCGGAGGAGACACCGGTGAGCCGGAGGAACGATCGCGGCGGCGGCGGCGGCGGGCGCGAGCCGCCGGAGAAGCGGCTCACGCTGTTCGCTCTCCGCCTCGCCGTGCTCGAGAAGGCGGCGAGCGGGCTCGGGAAGCTAGACTTCGTGTGGGCGACGGTGGTGCTCCTCGGCGGCTTCGCGAGCGCGCTCAGCACCACCGACTTCTGGTGCGTCACCGTCATCCTCGTTGGCTCCGGGGCGCGCGTCTTCGGCCGCAGCCACGAGCTGGAGTGGCAGCACCGCTCTACGCTCACCTCCTCCACCGCCGGTGGCGCGCTGCGCTCCACCTCCCGCCGCTTGCTCCGCAGCCTCGGGCACTCTCCCGCCGCCAACCCGACCGACGACGGCGGCGCCCGTGGCAGTGCGACCGAGACGCAGTTCCAGCACCAGATCGTCGCTCGCACGAAGCAGCGCGTTTGGCACGTGCCCGACGTGTCGCTACTCCCCTACACCGGCAGGTTGTTCGTCTCCAAGAACATCGGGAGGCTCTTCAGCTGGCTGCAGGTGCTCTCCGCCTTGGCCTGCGTCGCGCTCTCGGTGATGCGCCTATGGCGGCACGACTTCGGCGGCGACCAGCCCAACAAGCGGCCGGCGCTACTGCTGTTCTACACGTTGGCGTTGATCGAGGCGCTCATCTTCCTGCTCGAGCAGGCGTACTGGGTATGGATGTTCTCCCGGCAGAATCTGATCAAGACGGTGAGCGACGACTGCAAGCTCGGAGAGTACTACGGCCCCGACTCGCTCAAGCGCTTCTTCTTCGACGCCTACTCCCGCTGCATCACGGGGAGCATCTTCGACGGCACCAAGATGGACCTCGTCACCTTCGCCGAGGAGCTCATCCTGTCAGAGTTCCTCGGCAATCAGCTCATCGGCGTGCGCATCCTGCAGCAGTTCACCACCGAGGGCTCATCGGCCAACGCCGGGGAATCCAATCTCAACACGCTGCGCAACGTTGGCACGAACGCTCGCTCCATCGAGCGGCTCGTGGAGATGATCAACTGGAAGAGCCCCGGGGAGGAGGAGGTGCGCCGGTGCGCGGCCGAGGTGTTGTCCAAGCTCGCCGACAAGAGCCGGAACGCGCTCCGCGTGTCCGGCATCCCTGGCGCCATCGAGTCCGTCATGTCCCTGCTCTACACCGACGAGAGCGCGCCGGACTCCGCGGCGCCACACGACGTCTCGCCGGCGGCGCGGAGCTACGATCACCAGCAGTTCAAACTGCTCGGCCTGCTCATCCTCAAGAGGATCGCCAGGGACCACGACAACTGCGGCAAGATTGGGAACACCCGCGGCCTCCTCTCCAAGATCATCGAGCTCACGGACGCGTCGCCGGAGCTGCTCCACAACACGCGGGCGCCGGAGTCGCCGGTTCGCATCGTGAGGCGCGCGCTCAAGGTCGTCAAGATTCTGGTGTCCGCGACGAGCAGCACCGGCAAGATGCTCCGGCAGGAAGTCGCCGATAACGTGTTCACGGTGAGCAACCTGCGCGGCGTCCTGCAGCACGGGCAGCAGCACACGGCTCTGCAGAAGCTGGCCACGGAAATACTGTCGCACCTGGCCATGGACGCCAAGGGCAAGCAGGTGATCGTGGGCACCGGTGGGGTGGTCAAGCTGCTGCTGTCGATATTCGTCAACGGCGAGAAGGAGCTCGGCGCGGAGGCCGGCGAGGCGCTGGCGATGCTGGCGCTGGAGAGCCAGGCGAGCTGCGCGGCGATCCTCAAACAGGATGACGTGCTCGACCACCTCATGTCGGCGCTGGAGGGCGACGGCGGGCCGCGTCGCCTGAACGCGGCGAGGGTGCTGCGCAACCTGTGCGCGTACGCCGGCGAGAAGCATCGGCGGCGCCTCTCCACGGTGACCAAAGCGATGCCTACGGTATACATGTGTCTAATATATTTACACAAGAACCTTTCTTGAGTCGTGAGTCGTGACGTAATTTTGATTTGATTGTTAATTACTATACACTACATGTTTTGTATGATGACTTGTTGCTGAAGGTACTGAAGGCCACCATGACGGGGAGCGAGAGGACCCTCGAGGTGTTCGTCGGCCTGACGGTGCAGATCTGCAAGTTCATCGACGGCGTTCGGTTCGCCGGCGAGCTGTGCGGCGCCGGCATCGACGAGAGAAGCTACGTGGAGCGGCTGGCGAGCATCCTGCGGGAGCACCGGTACCCGGACATCACGGTGCCCCGGATGCGGCGGTTCGTGGTGCAGCAGGCCATCTGGCTCATGACCTCGTCCTCCGCCGCCGCCGCCTCCGCCGCCGCTGGCGCAGACTACGTATCGCTTCTCCGGGAGGCCGGGATGGAGCGGCTGCTGGAGTCCATCGCCGACACCACGTCGGAGCTGGAGTGCTACCACGCGTTCTCCGGCAGCGTGGGCATCAGCAAGCACCGGGAGAGCTTCTCCGCCGCCGTGGACGCCGCACTCGAGCTGCTCGGCGGCGATGGAGCTCGAGCTGAGGCCTGAGCTGCATGCAACGGTCGGAACTCTAAAATGGCAAAGGATTTGTGGTGCCACGCTGGCACGCTCCTCCCGCACGTTCTGTGCGTCTTGATGATTGCACAACACAAAAGTCCTATTCTTTTTTTTTCTTAAAAACAAAAAGAAATACACTACACTTATACGAGTAGAAATTTTTACTATAGCTAAAAAATTTGCCACTATTACACAAGGATGTATATATGCACTATCTGTTCATGAGATTCACTGAAATAACATAGTACATATTTATAGTTTTGTCGTTGCTTTGCTTTGGGGGCATATTTAGGTCCTATTTGTTTCAGTTTAAGATTATTATAATCTAGATTATTAAATCAGATTACTCTAAACTGGATTATAATAAGCTGGCATAAAATAAGCTACGAGTTGTTTGTTTCTCTGGATTATTAGAGGCATCTAAGAGTAGTGGGTCATTAGCCACTCAATAATCTGAAAAAAAGCTCCTCTAGAGAAGATTATTGGATTATAGTAATCTGGCTTATAGATTATAATAATCTAGCATAATAATCTACTTGTTTATTTTAACTTGCTCCTAATAATCTAGATTATAATAATTATAAGCTGAATCAAACAGGGTCTTAGTTTTGGAATTTCTAACACAAAAATCTACAGGACATAAGTCATAGCATGATACCCCATGGTAGGTACGTAACCCAGGGGTTCATCAGTTGTTGTGCGCAACTCCGTTTGTACCGGAGCAGCATGATTTTTGAGTTGTGTAGAGTATCATTTTGATCGAGCAATCGATGCGTTACTAGTGCTACTTAGGAATGAAAAGTGCATTTTCTTTCACATTTACATCCCCTCTGCTATGGATGTATTCGAGTATTCAAATCCAGTCGCCCAAATCTCACACGAATTTGACGAAACCCTATAAACATTTCAGTATTTTTTTATGATCGCCGTATGGGCCATGAGGCCCAACAACGGGTGATGCTGTACCAGACGGCCCAGCAACTGCAATCATCACAAGTCTTCGACGGCTGCATCCGGCGGCGACGACGCGGCGGCGGCGGCTAAATCGGAGACCCGCCTCATCGCGGCGCGAGCTGCAGAGTCGCACCAATGGAAGCCGCCGGTGGCGCAGGCGGAGCAAGCGGCGGCGGCGGAGAGTCGCAGCCGCCGAAGACGCTGGTGGACTGGGCGCTGGAGATCCTCGGCACGGCCGACCCCGACGAGAAGGCCCGCCTGGGGGACCTCGCCGCCACGGAGTGGCTGCGCGGCGCCATCCCGCTCCCCTACGACCCGTCCCGCCCCGCGCGGCCCCCTCCCGACCGCCCCGCCCGGAGCGCCGCCGTGCGGCTGCTCCCGCCGTCGCGGGCGCCCAAGCTGGGGAAGGGCGGCAGCGCGCAGAGCCGGCTGGCGCTGCTGCACTCCCTGGCGCACACCGAGAGCTGGGCCGTCGACCTCTCCTGGGACATCGTCGCCCGCTTCGGCGCGCCGCTGCGCATGCCGCGGGAGTTCTTCGACGACTTCGCCCGCGTCGCCCAGGACGAGGGCCGCCACTTCGCGGTGCTCTCCGCGCGGCTGCGCGAGCTGGGCTCGCACTACGGCGCGCTCCCCGCGCACGACGGGCTCTGGGACTCGGCGACGCGCACCTCGCACTCCCTCCTCGCGCGCCTCGCCGTCGAGCACTGCGTCCACGAGGTGAGCATACTATTAATGCACACTATTAATTGGATTAGCATATCATTGCCAAATCGACTCACTGATGATTCGACTGAGGTGAGGGATGATTGTAGAATTAGAGTAGCATCTCATTGCAAATACGGCTTTATTACTATCATGAATGCAGTGCTGGGTTACCTATACTACTTTAGTGTTGTAAGAGCCAAAAACTTGAAAGCTGAGTGCCTTCCATGAAATTCAATTGATAAACAGATCAGTATTTTCATCATATTTGGTTGGTCTCATAATTGTGTCTCACAAGAAGTTGTAGATTTGTGTTTGGGTTAAATAAGCAAATTGATATTTTTGTTAAAAAAAAGACTGTATTTGATACACTGAAATGAATAGGCAGACTATAGAAATTTCCATCATATGTTTCTCTTACCTTTTGTATCAGTAAACTACTACCATTTTACTAGCTGTAAGACTGTAGGTAGTCTATATTTTCTTGCCTCTGATCTAGTATAAGTGTAACCGTATAAAGTACAACCGAATGGCATCTTCTTATGATCGTAAGTTAGATAATGAGCTGTCACTGCCATAACCGTAGCCCCTGGTATCATTTGATTGGTCATGACTTTTGATTCTTGTGACAGTCAATACTTTGAGGCAACTAAAATGAATTTGGACAGATCTAGCATACTGCTTTGCACCATTTACTGTTGTTTTGGCTGTTTGTGTAAGATGTTGATACTCATAGAAAATGAACGATACATTTATCCATAAGCTAGATGTAAACAAAATGCTGACTCACTTGTGATATGCATGATGATTTTAATAGACGCACAAAGTGTATATAAGACGTCGGTAATTCAAAATGGTATTTGAAACCTTGGGCTATGTATGGGGTCAAATGACCTTCCAAATCAGTATTTTGGAATGTTAATTTTGTGTGGAAGGCCTTACACACTAAATATATTTGTTCAATTTGCTGCTCTGCTAGTGTTTTTTTTCCTTGATGCGATTGGCGACTACTCTCTATAATTCGACCCTTAGGAGTTATCCAGTTTTACAGACCTTTAATTTTGAAATGCGATGTAGTAATAATAATATAATTTATGTAACCTATGTCAATATCCCTGACATGATAACTTCACTGAACATTTGTACAAGTACATGACTGATGAAGGTCCATTTGGAATACAGGCTAGGGGATTAGATGTTCTACCTACCACCATATCAAGATTCCGCGCAGGTGGGGATGAACAAACAGCCAAATTACTAGAAGATGTTATTTATCCTGAGGAGATAACACACTGCGCGGCTGGTGTTAGATGGTTCAGATACTTGTGCCTCCGGTCCCGCAATGGTGATCCAACTGCAAGTTCAATTCCGCAGGCTATAACCCAATGCTCTGAACTCCCACGAGATGGTACCGGTGACATCCACAAGGTCGAAGAGGTGGAAGGTGATGGACCGAAAGCCGAGTTAGCACAAGCCTCCAATGGCGATGACAAGACAGTCCAACAGGTGGAGGATGAACTGGCAAAATGCAAACTAGTCGACATTGGAGATGATGTTGAAGCAGCGGTCATTCGGACTTTCCACAGTGTTGTTAGAGAGTATTTCCGGGGACCCCTGAAGCCTCCCTTCAATACGGAGGCGAGGAAAGCCGCTGGCTTCGAGCCTGCCTGGTATGAACCCTTGGCAGTGAAGGAGGTAGAGGGACAAGCAGTTGAGTGAGATGTTTGATTTCTGCCATGTACTGTAGCAGGCTAGAACCTACATGGTGGGCATTACACTTCTGTTGAACCTCTTCTTCCCTGTTCCCTTCTTTTAGCAGGGAAAACTGTACTGAACTTGTGATCATGTTTTGTTTGCCATACGGAAACCGACTGGTCTGTCCGTGGACCAGCCAAACCAAATTAAAGACAGAAACTTTACATTTCATCGCATTAGCTTCGTTGTAAATTTCTTCCCCCAACGCAATGGAGGATTCCTTTTCGTTTAGTTGCAGTAAAGCACAATAGAAGTGGTTTCCGCAATTCTGTTGATAGGATTATCTAGGGCTGTATTGGGACCAATTGGGCCCGCAAGAAACGAGAAGGGAACATAACTGAGACACCACATGTCAGCGTCCTCTCTTCTCTTCTCTTATTTTTCTCTTTTCTCTCCTCTTTCCTTTCGTCTCCTCCCTTCACTTCTTCAGTAGGCTGGGAGGCCTGCGGGTGGGGCGGCGGCGGGCAAAGCAGGCAGGGGACAACGCGGTGGTGGGTGGCAGGCGAAAGGCGAAGCAGACAGGGGGCGGGGCGCATCACCTGCGGCCGCGCGACAACCGAGGCCCGCTCCAGCACGGCCGCTCCCTCTCCACGGAGGCCATCCTTGCCGTGCAATCCCTCAAGCGCATCACCTCTTTTGACCGCTCCCCAGCCGCCGCCGTGCCCTCGACTTCCCTCGGCGCCTCCTCAAGAGCGACCTCCTCGCCGCCATGGCTGAGCTCCAGCGTCAAGGCTGTTGGTCCCTCGCCCTCTCCCCACTCCACGTCGCCCGCATCGAGCCTTGGTACTACCCCAACCCAGCTCTCTACGCCACGTTCGTGTCCTCCTCGCCAGTCACTGAGGATGGCACCGCCGCCGCCATGGACGTGCTCGTGGAGGCGTTCCTAGAGGAGGAGCGAGGCGGCGGGTTCGTGGAGGGGGAGGAGGACGTGTACAAGCTGATGCGGCTTGTGCGCACGCTGGTGGCGAAGGAGAGGGCGCGCGCGGCGTGGAGGGTGTACTAGCTGGCGCGTGTGGGGACTACAGACAGACTTAGATGTAAAGCTGAGGGACTTCAGATGAACTTATTCCGACCGGGAATGCCTGGGCCCAATCGGACCATATACTCCGGCACTGGGCCCAATTGGGCCTGCAAGAAACAGCCCGTCGTCACCTGTGGTGGCTTGCTTTTCTTGCCATTGGAAGGGTGGAGGAGGAGGGGATAAGCGAGGTTGAAGGAGACGCACATCCATCCCGGCGGAGAGGATGCTGCTGCTGCGCGCCGCCAGGGCGTCGCCGGCGATGGCCGCCGTCGTCAGGTGCAAACCCACCAGGCTGACCCCAATCGCGGGCCTCTCCTCCTCGTCGGGTGGGGGCAGGAGGAAGAAGGCCGGGCGGCGGGGCGAGGCCAAGCCCCCACCCCCACCCCCGCCGCAGCTGCGGGGCGGCGAGACGAAGAAGAAGAAGAAGCCAGACGCGAGGACGGCGGCGGAGGCGGCGCAAGGGTTGCAGAGGCATGAGGTCGAGAGGAGGAAGAAGCCGCCGCCGCCGCCGCCGCCGCCGAAGCAGGAGAAGGCGAAGCGCGTGGTGCGGTGGAAGTGCGCGGCCGGGTGCGGCGCGTGCTGCAAGCTGGACAAGGGCCCCGACTTCCCCTCCCCCGAGGAGATCTTCGCCGAGCACCCCGAGGACCTCAAGGTACTCCCAACGATGCAAAATTCTGCCTAATCTACTACTACCATTCTGCAACGTACTACCTCCGTCCCGTCCCAAATTATAAGCATTTTTCGGCTTCGATAACGTCTTTACTAACAATATCTATAAAAATAAAACGTTTTAAATAAAAAGAGTTGTATATTATGATAGTTTGTTTAGTGATAAATCTAGGAACATCAATTTTACAGGATTGATCTTTTTTATTTTTTTCTATTAATAGTCAAAATTGAAAATGTTTGACTTGACACTATCCTTATATTTAAGGACGGAGGGAGTATATACTAAAACGATGTAAAGAAAAATCGACGATTACTTGCTGTTTCTATAAATTGCAATATTGTTATGACTTATGAGGTGATGCAAGCTTAATCAACCAACGCTGATGAATGAATGAAATGATGCTTCACGCCTGCAGCTGTACAAGAGCATGATCGGCGCCGATGGATGGTGTATCAACTACGACAAGTCCACTCGCACCTGCAACATCTACGAAGGTAGTCACAAACTCAACAGGACGAATCCTGTATGACCCTGGTGTGTAATGGGCCATTTCACCTGACACTGTTCTGGTTGATGCGTCGCGAAACTTGCGATCGTAGAGAGGCCTGTCTTCTGCAGGGTGGAACCGAAGGTTTTCGAGGAGTACTTCGGCGTGCCAAGCCGACCCAGCACGTTTGACAGGGAAGCTTGCAGGTTTGCTTCTCCTGTCCTGCCTCGTGTATCGCTGGGTTAGTTCGTCAAAGGTGGTGATTTCGGGTTTGTTTACTTGTTCGCAGTGCTTGTGTGGATACCATCAAGATGGTGTATGGTGAGGAGTCCGCGGAGCTAACTAACTTTAAACGTGTCATAAGGGAAGAAAGTAAAAAGCATGAAGCTAGCCTGAACCAAGATAAATTGTTGGATACATAGCTCCTGGTAAGAACTCTGTAAGTCTATAGTTCTGGCATGGCCCAAATCCTGAATTTTGCCGCCCTTTACATCTGTAAAGTTGACTAGTAACTTGTAAATCATGTGGTTCCTTTAGTGAGTATTGCTAACCATTCATCGTAGAGATATAGAATCTCATCGCATATTGTTTTTTCTTAGATATGCATTCCATATCTTCAATTGATTTGAACATTGTGATACGATGATAGCTCCTTTCTATGATGTGGTTTAGGCAAGAAAAACAACTGCCAAACACCAAAATGTGTGAAAACAGTTCGTCCAAAAGATTATTATCGTAGTGCCTCACTATGCCAAACGGGGCCTTATATATGGCAGTGAGCCAGTGAAGATAATCTTGCAACTTCATACCATGTTAAGCCTTGTCATGACATGTTTGCTGATGTATAGGTTTTTGTTTCAGGTAAATTCAGAAGACATCAATGGCCTATAATGTAAAGGTCCATATATTTATGTTTCCTGCTGTTTGATGTGCATCAGTGCCTCAAATGGTTAAACGTGGAACACGCACCGAGATGTTGAGGGAGTTTTACCTGAGATGTTGCTATCACGGTTCGGAGGAAATGAATTGACACTTGCAAGTTAAGAAGGCAGTCGGATATGCTCAAGTTTATAAGCTTGTTGAGTGAGGGTTGGTGGTATTATTTTTTCCCCGTTATTGTTAACAATTGTTTGCTAAAGCATAGAGCAATAGTTAGCTTGGTTTGAATGCCTTCATCCAATTCTGATGATACTGACCTAGCTAATCTCACTCAGATTTGATTCTGAATGATTAAATCCCAACCTAATCCCATTCACGATTTGGTTTTGGTCTTTTGAGGTGATAAAATATGTTCCCTGTATTTTTTTCCCTTTCCTATTACACTTGCAATATGTTCCCTGTATTTGTTTTCCTTTTTTATTCCACTTAAGAAACATTTCTGCTGGAGATATAATCATATAAATATCGCTCTCATTCTACCCTTACCTTTCTAAGTCATGCCTAGAGGCGATGGTCATATTATTATGCTCTCTCGCCATTATTGTTCTAGTATGATCAAAGATTAAAGGCTTATTTATCAGCAAGCTCTAGTCCATGGCTCTGCCCCCTCACATTCTAGCAGAGCTCCAATAAATCAATAATCTCAAGCATAACACAGTAACACACCAAGAAAAGCAGAAAAAGGAATTGAAATGCCAACAGAAAACAGAAGTTAGTATATATATAGTAATATGAACACACTGATACAAATAATTTGAGAGGATAACGAGCGTTCTACATACAAATCCTCCTCGAGCTGTCATGTGAACGATTCTTGGATCTCTTCGAGTGCCTTCCCTTTAGTTTCTGGCACTAACCTTGCCACGAACAACACCGTGACCAAGCTCGCCGCAGAGAACAGAAAGAAGGTACCTGCGCACAGAAAGTAAAATATCCTCAGAACAATGAGACAATCGGCCATAGAGATATTACAGCTTGGAACCCAACCGGAAGCATATGTTCATCTTTTTCGAAGCTAAATTCGACTGTTTTATTTACATATAGTGCATCTATCCCATGAGATACCGGTGAGGTATGTTTTGCTTTCTCTTCCTATTGTCCTAGGTTTGTAAGGGGTGAAGATGCCTTACCTGCAGAGTTCCAATCCATGAGGAAATTGAATGAGTAGGAAATTGCGAAGGAACCAATCCAGCTAACCAGCGTCACCAAGCTTCCAGCTATTGCTTTTATTTCAATGGAGAATATCTGCGGAAATAAACAAGGGCTCAGGAACACAAGTTCCTGACAGACCTCCAAGAATACGGGAGCATAATAGGAGTACAATATTAACTTGACGGTGTTCCTTTTTCCTACCTCAGACATGATAACCCAAGGAACAGGTCCCATTCCAACTGAGTATGCAGCGTAATATACCTATTGTAGGAAGCAGTGTCAGAGCATGACATTTCAAAAATTCAAAGATGCAATCATCAGAAATATTCGTCTCCAAATGTTTGAAAGAAACTTATTTGGGAATTGGCTGAAAGTTGTGAAATATTTGAAAGATTTTACATTGAAAGTACACAACACTGTAAAAGTTAGGTGTTTATGAATTCTTTACCGATATGCCATAAAGAGCCAATGTTGGAACCAGTTGTGCATACACTCCTTGTGCCTGTAAGACCATGAAACGCGGATCAATCAAATTGGACGGAAAAGTAAATACTCTGCTAAGAATGGTACAGGTATACAGGGATAGACTCCTTGTTCCTTAACCTACATATTATTTAAATTAGTAAATTAATTAAGGTTTATCAAAACTCTTCAGAATTGTTGATTTGTTCAGTTTCATTTTACTGCAAGTTCATACTTCCACCTGGTTATTTAATGTTGTCTGGAGTGATGCTGTCCTGTCATTGTTTCTCCAACCACCAAATATAAGTCGTGCAACGAATTGAGTAATTTGAAGGTAAGCAACTCTGAAAACAGAAGTGTATAGTTAATTACTTACCTTGAAGTAGAACGATAATCCAGTCAGAAAGCAGCCCAGAAATGTTCCAGACGCAGAGACCTTAATAACAGAAGAATCTCACAATACATAATTGATAATTCCAGACCCAGAGAATGATAATTGATCTGTTTCGTTTTATTCAATTGGCTCAGGTTTTGTATTGTTCATACCAGTAGAAGGGCTCTTCTTCCACTTCTATCCATGAGAAGGGCACCAAACAATGTGAGTGGAATCTGAAACAATTGCAGTTACAGAAAATGTTAGGAATGGAAGCGGGGGTGGGCAAGCAGGTTTTGTTTTGCCCATTTATCACAATTCTAGTTAATTTTTCTTCCAAATTTTGTACTACCAAGTAGGAAATGAACTACTATGCAGAGGTTTTTATGTGGGTAGTGGGATTGCCCACTTGCATCCCTAGAAGATGTTATGCCCATTTACTTTCATTGACAGAAAGGACATAAAGCCGACCTGAAAAATTCCAATCAAGGTGGTCCCAAGCTTTCCAGAAAACCCTGGAGTTCAGGAAAAAACAAATTACAGATAGTCCCTCTAATCAGAGAATAACAAATATATCCCTCCGTTTTTTAATAGATGATATTATTGACTTTTGAACATATGTTTGATCATTCGTCTTATTAAAAAATTTTATGCAAATGTACAAGATATAAATCATGCTTAAAGTACTTTGAGTGATAAAACAACTCACAACAAAATAAATTATAATTACGTAAATTTTTTAAATAAGACGAATGGTCAAATGTGTGAAAAAAAGTTAACGGCGTCATCTATTAAAAAACGGAGGTAACTACTTAGGCATTTGAATACCTGCAGAGGAAAAGATATAGCTTGTATAAAATCCCAAGGCATTTATTCCTCCCAGCTGCTGAAAGACCATCAGGCCAACACCCACCTAAGCATCATAGTTTGATGATTATTTTATTTCTGAAAAACAGCATTTCGCATCATCAAGTTCAGATCTTTTAGGGTAAAATGCAATGCCTTTCAACAGCTTGAAACTTCTTACAATGACTGCAAACAAATTCTTTCTCTGAAACAAATCTTGAACCCTGGCCTCAGGTAAGCTACGAAGTGATTCGATATATTCCTGCATAAAACAATTGTTATAAACATCTTCACTACAAACTACTCCCTCCGTCCCCTAATATAAGAGATTTTGACATTTTGCTTGCACTGTTTGACCATTTGTCTTATTCTAAAGATTTTGGAATTATTATTAATTTTATTTGTGACTTACTTTATTATCCAAAGAACTTTAAGCACAACTTTTCGTGTTTTATATTTGCACATTTTTTTTGAATAAGACGAGTGGTCAAACGTTACAAGAAAATAGTGAATATCCCTTATATTAAAGGACGGAGGTAGTACTAGAATGAATTTAGAATGGAATTAACTCTAATCCCAGCAGCCTCTTCAGATATGTCAGCATTCTCCCCTCTAAGCTTTTGCAGTGAAGCATTGAATTCTTTGACTCTCCCTGTATTGGCCTGCCATGTTATTAAACAAAGGACTTCAGTTAGAGACATCCACTATGATAGCTTATGTCAGGGTTTAACTCTTTAACAAAGATGCTACATTTCACATTGGACTGTTATATCATTTGTCAATCTGATTAATTCATGATCTATTTCACCGAAGATGTTATGTTCCCGTAGGTGTCTTCCTTTTTTTTTTCAGTCATGCAGTATATACCTTCGGCTATGGGTTGATTTAACTTATTTTCTTACTTAATGCAATGCTACAAAATTATTTTATGTATTTTCTAAAATGAAATAATAAGACTAACAATATACGTTGCATTAGTTTGTTCCAAAAAAAACACTAATAATCATCAAAAGTTGGATTGATAAAATCAATGTATTTTGGCATCCATATTAAAGAAAAGGGTTATAGTTACTATCTTACCAGCCACCTAGGAGATTCTGGAATAAACAGAAGCCCAACAAGGAGGAAAGCACAAGGCACTAATCCTGGGTAAACATGCAGTATTAGTTTCCTTTAGCGGATATCATAAGACAGATAATGCGTATATCTTACCTACTAGAACCAACGAGCGCCATGAAAGAAGTGCCCCAATAATGTAAGCAGCTGAACATCCTGAGCAGATGAACAACTGCATGCACAGAAGGGCCAATGCTAATGTTTAAGAATTATTAAATTAAATAAACATCAATAGGCTATCCAGTTCCAGTTCTCCTACCTGATTTGAAGATGCAAGACCCCCTCGAAGATCCTTTGGGGCTATTTCAGATATGAACACAGGCACCTGTGCCATTCCATGGTAATTTAAGTGCCTGTAAGATTCTAATGCTATGTTGACAAGACACGAATGATACGTTACTACAGAAGATGTATGTGGGAACATAACTGAGACCGTAAATTGTATTACTCAGCCAAAAGGCTATATATGGATTATGAGATTAAACCATACAAAATGAGATAACATAACCACCCTTGATACTTAGATGGTAGTACACTAGTACCCTTGACACATTACACTAGTACATTAAACTCTATCTTTTCTTTTACAGTATGAATAGTCAGATATGCATTGAGAAATTAGAGATGCTCACCACATAGGAAAGAACTCCAGTACAATAGCCGAGCAAGACTCTTCCAAGATAGAGCATCGTAGCACCCTTCATCTCATTGAAGACAACATTTCAAGCTCATGAAACCACAAATGACAGCTAAAGAAGAGAAATAGTTCGCAGAGGAACATACATTGGCAAAATATATGGTAAACCAACCAACAATGCCAATAATTGCTGCCAACCCCATGGTCTGCAGCAGATGCAATGGAAGACATGTCACGAGAACGAATGGGAATAACTTAAACTAGTCATGAATTCAATCACTTCACCGTTTTGCGCCCAAGACTGTCTGCAAGGCGACCGCTAGTCAGAGCGCCAATCATTGCTCCAATTGTCAACACAGACCCAAATACGCCGTACTACAAGATTAACATGAATCGAGACGATTAAATTTAGAAAACAATGGAGACCATTGAGTTGTAAGATAGTAGCCTCTTGTACAACACTAACTGCAGTAAACAAAAACTTGAACTTCAATGCGTATTCAAATGCTCTCAATTGGTAATGCAGAATGAAAAGGTAAAGAATAAGCATAGGCAGATAGCATGTATTTTTCCCTCTGACCAAAATAAATAGCAATTTTGCAATGCGGGGACTCATTTGATAAAGATCGTGCTACGAATCATAACATATTGGGATGCTTCTTTGACCAAATGAAATCAAGCATGCACCTGGTAAGCTGGAGTACTAAGATTACAACACAACAATTACCCCAATTCCTCAATGCACCCACGTGAAAAGATTATATCCATGGCTCAAGGAAAAAAGATAATGCGTATGTGCTAACCGACCTCTGAATTGGAGAGCCCAAAGTCGTTCACGATTCCAGCTTGCGCTGGCGCCGAATACCCCACCTGAATTTGTACATTCCATCAAAGCACACACATGAACACAAGCAATAGCCGCACGCCTTATGTTTTTTCTTGAGATTTAGCGAGCTCTCAGTGCAGCAACACAAGAGGCATCAAGCCATGGGGAGGAGTCTGGGAGCGGGATGCGTACGCAGGTGCCGAACTCGAAGGACCCGCACACGGCCACCGCGGTGGCGAGGAACACCATCCACAGGGACCCCTCCCCCGCGCCACCGTGGGGCGCCGCCCCCGCCTGCCCCTGGGCCGCGGCTGCGCCACCCCGAGCAGCGGCCGGCGGCCGCAGCGCGCAGCAAGCATCGCGCCGCCGTGCCGCGGCGGAGGCGGAGGCGGCACAGTGCACCCGGCGCGCGGGGCGGCGGTGGTTGCGGTAGAGCTCGAAGGGAGAGGAAGGTGAGTAGGCGGCGGCGGCGGAACGGCGGAGGACGAGCGGCGGCGACGGCGGTGCGGCGGTGGACAGAGGAAATGCGGCAGCCATCATCGCCGGAGCGATCGAGCCGGTTCACATATTTTTCTGTGCCTCATCTGCTTGCATTTTATTGTGTTTTTTTTTCCTTTCATTTGCGAAGGGGACACGGTGTGCACACAGGGTTCACCTTACCGTTTGGGGGGGGGGGGGGTTACCGACCCCCCGCGGTATGGTGGTTACCGCGGTAACCGTGCGGTTACCGTGAAAAACCGCACAAATTTCGTTTCCAAATTTTTGAATTCAAAATCCACGGTATGGACACGGTAACCGCACGGTTTGGTACGGTAACCGCGGTAAGAGGACGGTAACCGCGATATGTTGGAACTGAAATAAGAAAAATAAAAAAAATAATAGAAAAAAACTAAAATGTGAGTATTTTAGTTTATGTTGGAACTGAAATAAGAAAAATGAAAAAAATAATAGAAAAAAACTAAAATGTGAGTATTTTAGTTAATTAAGATGTGGTTATACAACAGAAAAATTCGGCATGACCTACTCTATATTGTAGAGTCCACAGTATAATGTCCACGATTACAATTCTAGTTCGAATGAAAGGAAATAAACAAGGACATGCATAGCTACGCATTCCACTGATTATATGCCATATTTTACTCCTCTGTGGACATGAGCATCAAGCCATGTGAATGTAGCAACCCCGCCTTGTATTCCTTCCAACTTTGACCTGTCCATGATGATGTTGTTTGCCACTGAGCGTACAATTGAGCATACCACTGAGGCTCTTGCCATTCATACACCCATGTAGTAGCAGGATAATCAGAAGCTTGGGGACGGTTGTACACATACGTTGGATAGCCACTTTCAAAGCTAGAGGCACTGAATGAGCTAGAGCTATCCTGTTGTATGTCACTGAATTGTTGCTGTTGTCGGACTCCCGGTGCAATGGTAGTTCGTTGAGAGCTTGGAGCACCATGATCCTGGTCCTGAGTAGCATGAGTGAAGTCGCCCTCACCTGCAAATCAAAAAATTGCAAGAAAATTATCCAGTACTGAATTGGAAGATGAAGGTTGAAATTGCAACTGAATTATATCACACCAGTGAATTGAACGGGGCTGTGGTGATCTGATTGTTGGGTGTGACCCCTAGGAGGCACATTAGTAGTGCCTTGGCCTCCTTGACCATCGTCGTCGTCGTCATCTGTTTCAGTTCTTGAGCTACTATCATTGGACTCTTGGTACTCTGGGCTTCCTTGGGTCTCTTCATCGCTATCAACACTAGTCGATCGTGGACCCTTGCCCTTTACCTTTTTAGATGGACGTGCTTTTGGCGGCTTTCGAGTCTTCCTTTTCCCAATATGAGTGTCACCTACATTCGTATCAGCCCACTCAACAATACTAGAAGCTCCCGTGGTCCTTCGCAGGTCATCCAAGTTGACTAGGTCAGACACAAGTTAACTAGGCAGGGGAGCGTCACTCTCAGCTGAATCTTCATCTAGTTCGGGGCAAGCATTAGAGCGAGCATTGTCCATCCAGGCACTGATATGATTGTTAGTTTCATAGAATGAGAGGTCCGCTAATCTTTGAAGGGGATCATCGTCCTCCACCCTAATTTGGGCATTTGCTTGCTGAATTCGAAGGCGAAGGTTGTAGTTCACGTACACTAGCTTGTTGAGCTTCTTGTGGGTAAGTCTATTACGGACCTTCGTATGTACGAATGCGAATGTGCTCCAATTCCTTTCACATCCACTGGAGGAGCAACATTGACCAACCAAACGCAACGCAAGCTTCTTCAAATTCGGCGTGTCTAAGGCAAACATAGACCACCATTGTGCTGCAAAAGCCAAGTAACATGTCATTTCATAATTCTGAATACATCAAGATCAATTAGATATATCATAGTTCCATGATTAGAAACATACCAGGTGAAGTTTTCCCATCTATGGCCATCCTTCTTGCTAGTGCCCTCCCAAATTCACCCGTCTTACGTCGGTACATCTCAACCTCCAGCAAAGCGGCGGCAGCCGTATCGATATCCGTCATCCACTCGAATGCCTGTCGGAGGTCTTGGAAGACAGTAGCACTTGGAGAATACGCGTAGTGCGTCCTAGGGTTCAATGCGGCAGCTACAAAACATGGCACAGGTTAAGTAAGAGTTACATAATATGCCATGTGGATTATGTTATGACCAATATTTACCGGCATTGATGAGAGTCTCATTGGTTAGGTCGTGCATCCTTCTGTTCACGATTTCCATGTATGCTTCAAACTTGTCCCTTTGATTCGCAAAAAGACTGTCGTACTCCATTTTGAGCAACTGATATCTCAAAAGTACCTCACTCAAATTGGGGTTCTTGTCCTCGTCAGCAAACCGAAGGAATGAGTACATAGGTTGGACAAAATTCACTACTGCCTCTAAGTTCTCCCACCAAGACAGACTAGATAGACATGCATGTGCATATCTACCTTCCAAAGTCCCACTAAATTTGCTTTGCATGAAGACAGAGGAAGCCATCCATTGCATGAAAAGATCTCGCTTCCTAAGGAAACTCTGGAGAAACATGTAGTTTGTTCCGAACCTTGTAGCATTCCACTTAACCAGTTCACCACCTATAGCTAAGACCATCATAGCATGCAACTTGTTATGATTGTATAGCCATCTGCAAATTTTCCTAGCACTCTCAATCACCATTTCGTGGTCTGGCATTTTCCCAACCTCCTTAAGCATCAAGTTAACTGTGTGTGCCACACAAGGTTGCCACACAATTGTCTTGTATTCTTGCCGTAGTAGTCTGCACGCCTTCTTGTAGTTAGAGCCATTGTCAGTGATAATTTGAACAACATGCTCCGAGCCTATTTCGCGTACCACCTTCCTTATCTCCTGCATTGGTAGATAACATAATAAAAATTAGTCCATGCCCCTAGCACTGACGATAACAGGTGATGAAGTAATTTGTTGCATGAACCATACATACCTTCAGCACAAAGTTAGCATCCTGGCTTTGCCCCGGTCGCATCAATGGACTTGTGGAAAAACATTATTCCATTGCAGTATATCAGAAAATTGATGACCGACATACTCGTCGGACCTGTCCAAGAATCACACATTATAGTAACACCGTACTCATCCCAATCCTTCTTGAACCTATCAAATTGCTTCTTCACATCCTTCTCTGTAGAATCAAGATATTTTCCATCTATCTCGTTACCAGTTGGAGAAGGTACACTTTCACCTACAATTGACGTATGAAATAAGTAGTGCGCAATGAGTTAGAAAAAAAGAAGTTCCTTAATAGATGCATACGTACCCCACTTTTGTGTCTCCCGAACGGCGCTCACAAAGTATGGATTATCGGCGTTTCTACCAGGAATGCCGGCGGTAAAGAAGAACCTTGCCCATGACTCACCAATGGCTTGCCTAGCTTGCTTCCCCTTCTTTGTGAAGAATCCTGTGTCAATGCGTGGCTGCACAGGGGCCTTGGCAGATGCTAGGTTGTAATCTCTCACAGCAGGTGACTCCCTATGAGACGTAGCCCTTCGTAGCATATTGGTAATTGGGTTACTTCTACCTTTCCGTGCCTCCGGCTGAGCGGATCCACTCCCACCGCCATGCTCATAAGTGCCACCACGCTCCTCAACATCCCTCCTAAAGTTTTCGTCTTGTCGTGAGGCTACAATGGCTGCTTCCATTTGTTCCTCCTCGTCGGCATCACCTGTTAGGTCATAATAGTTGACCCTTGCTGCTTCAACCCTTCTTCCGCTATCACTCTTACGCTGGTCACCTGCATCTTTTATCCTGTCCAACTCACGGCAGAAGAACTCACGGACATCCGGAGGCACTGAATTGCAATATGTAACCCCCTTCCTTCTTGCAGCCAAGTGTTGCTTTAATCTTGTTGCCCCACCACCGCCCCTCTTTGTATGGCAATACTTACAGCGCCATCCAGGTGGGATATTCTCCCCGTGCTCCCACACAGGGTCCCTACTATCTGACATCTCCACCCTGTATCAAATGCATGAGAAATTATCACTGCTAATTATAAACATACCTCCCATTATGCAATAATACGACGTAATTATATGTACACTGGTAAGCATGCATCCAAATTCTTCCATACTATGACGTATTTAATTTAACCTATATGTACATAGACCAAAGCAATCAAATATACTTCACATGCATGGTTTTAGCCAAGCACGGGCAACCAAATGCCGAAATAAACTCATATTCCCAATGTATTTCACATGCATATTGGTAAAAATATGTTCTATTGACCTAAATCCCAAAATATGTCCATGCATATCACAGTAAAAAATACCATACCACGGTTCAAGCCACGGTAACCACGGTAGGGTGGACGGTTACCACGGTTTTCACACGATTACCGCACATACGTATATCGTCTCATAGATTACGAAGCCGACGGTAACCGTACAAAACCGCACGGTTACCGCTCCTAACCGCGCGAAAACCTTCAAAACGGAGGGATTACCTCTTGCCCGTCGACCCAGGCGGTTACCGTCTCGTACCGCGCGGTTACCGCCGCTTACCGCGCGGGAACCGGCCTCGCCGGCGCGGAGGCGGCGGATCTGGCGCGGGCGCACGCCGTCGCCCCTTCGGTCCTGAGCGCAACTACGCGAGAGAGGGGAAAAACGGTAGGATTCGCCAGAGAAACGAAGCAGAGGCTTCCAAAGATATTTTCCTCCCATTGTGGGCCTTATTGGGCCTCGTGAACAGTGCATACTTGGCCCATTCCATTTAATCTTTTTTCTTTTTTATAATTCACAATAGGTTTTGCGCTCAAATTTGAATTTACCTGCATCTTTTTGATGAAATTGTTTCACCATAACAACATACAAAACAAGCTTTTACATCCATGATTTTTTTTGATTTTTTTCGATTATTTTTCAAATTTTTGAATTTGAGCAAAATTTGCCCAAACCCTACCGCCGGTTTTCGTTACCGACCCCCCACGGTAAGCCCGGTAACCGCGGTTGCCGCGCGGTTACCGGCGAGAAAGTGAACCCTGTGTGCACACAAGCCATCAAGTTTTCAACGGGACGAAGAAAACGGTCGGAAGATGTAAAAGTAAATTAAATATATTCAAATCATTTCCGTTATTTTTTTTTCTCGAATGCAAAATCATTCCAAATCATGACGATAGAGTCAGAAATGATAATGGTTTTACCGGAGGCCGGAGCATCAGAAAATACTATAGACAAAATCATTGAAGTAGAGCCTCAAAAACAGCAAGCAAGTCTTAGTTATATTTATATTGTAAAATACTAGTAACTTGTCTTAGTTATATTTATATTGTAAAATACTAGTAACTTGGTCATTTGATGTTATAGATGTTGGTGTATTTATCTTATCTGTTATCCATAAACTTGGTTAGATTGTCAAAACGCTTTCTTCCTCTCGCGTCGCCCTCCCAAGGGGTGGCTCGGGAGGCAACGAGCTTCGGCCGTCCCCTCTCCCCCACCTCTCTCCTCCACCTCGCCACCGCCTGAGCGGCCGCCCGGCTGGCGGCCACAAGGACCGCGCTCAGGTGACCTGGGGAGCCGCCTTGGGCGGCGGCGACGGTGACCGCCAGATCCGCGCCGCTCCGATCGGATCTGGCGGGGTGGCGGCTGGCGAAGGGGAAAGCGACGGCGGCAGGGATGGCAACGACGACGGGGATAGCAAGCCGCATCGGGTGATGGGGACCGTCGGCGGCGGGGATGGAGATGGCGCGGGGCTGGAGGCGGCGGCGAGGACGGCAACAGCGGGCCGGATCCGGTCGTGCTAGAGGCGGATCCCCCCCCAGGGCGTATCTGGTGCGGGGCGAGCTCAAGCCGGTGGCGGCATTGCGGAGCTCGCGGCGACGGCGTCGGCGACAACGGCGCGGAGCTCACGGCCACGGTGGTGATAGTGGCTGGACGGCGGTGACAGCAGGTGGCTAGCCGACGAGCAGCAGCTGCTGGCTGCCGTGGCAACGGGGGGCACTCGCAGCGGGAGAGGTCGGTGCGGCGGCGACAGCAGGCGTGGAGCTCGTGGCGACGGTGGCGACAGCAGGTGGCTGGCCGGCGGCAGCAGCGGCAGTTGTGGCGACCGTGGCTGCGGTGGGAGGAGGCATGGCCATCTTGGACGGCTAGCCGGGGGCGTGGTAGACGGCCGTATTTGGCCGGCGCGACAGCGATTGGAGGAGGGGTCAAAGAGGCGCAACCGATGGCAGCGGAGGCCGGCACGGCGCGAGTGGTGTGGCCGGCAGTGATGGAGGCTGGCTTGGCACGAGAGGCACGGCTGAGCGGCTGTTGGTGTGAGGGTAGTGGTATATTTTTTCTTTTTTCCTGGTTACGACCTTCTAGGGTTGTAATTTTGTAATTTTTTTCTACTCTATCAATACAACTTCACACTGTCTTGTGCGAGTCGTTCAAAAAAAATAAACTTGGTTAGAAATTTGACTAAAATGACTATATGGAACATAGGGAGTACCTTTCTTACGGATAGACCAGTATACTCACGACAAAACAGCGTAAAGCCTCAGAACACACATATGTGTGTGTGTCCCATATATATATTGCTCAATACAATTCAGAGTGACATGGTATACATAGCTTGCATGCGTAGTAGCCCGGGACTTAGCCTAGCTAGGTATTGAGTACACTACGGCAAAACTGCCAAGAACCGGAGAGAGAAAGATCAGGAGGCTAAAGAGACAGAGAGAGTGAGAGAGAGAGGTGCGTCGAATTTGACGGCGGCTCAGGTAGAAAGAGTGGAGCAAGTGGATCATATCTCTATGGTCTATGGATCCCTCAATCTTGATCTGGAGTCGATGAGCGAGTCCTGAATCTCCTCGAGCGTCCTCCCTTTGGTTTCAGGCACGACCATCACCACGAACAGGATGGTGATCAAGCTCGCCGCGGAGAACATGAAGAAGGTCCCTGCATTTGCACGCACCAATGGCAAAGGGAAAAGAAAACAAAATGTTAAGTGTATCAAGAAAGCAGCGAGGCAAAACATTTTACATTTCTATAATTCATAGAATAAATCTCCTCCTGGTAAACTTGTTGGCATAAATCCAACGGCTCAATTCGCTGATTTATCCAGGTTGAATGAATCTTTCAAAAGGTAAAATGGATGGTTATTTTACATCTTTCAAAAGGTAAAATGGATGGTTATTTGTCCATTTCGCTTAGTTCTTCAGAGATGAAGGTTATTGTTTTTGACTACTGGCATTACAGCATTGGAAGAACTACAGTGCTGTGTTGGTGGAATTTTTACTTACCTGCAGAACTCCAGTCCATGAGGAAGCTGAACGAGTAAGAAATCGCGAAGGAACCTAACCAACTAACTAGTGTCACCAAGCTTCCACCGATTGCTTTCATGTCAATCGAGAATATCTGCACGCAATTCGTCATCCAGAAAATATAAATCACTCTCCTCCTGAATCACTACAGATTGATGAAGAACCTTGTACCATATATAACCATCCAAAACCAACACTATATAATTTTGCATACCTCAGACATGACAACCCAAGGGACAGGGCCCATTCCAATCGAGTATGCTCCAATATAAACCTATTACAGAAACAGCATCAGAAAGAGTATCAGCAGTCTGCAGTGATGTTTATCTTTCACAACATGCTACATGGTGTAGACTACTAAATGTTGCGATTGAAGTGACATTAGAATGTGTAGTGCATACAGTCCTAAAAATTTATGTACTGCAACTGAAGGGAAAGGATGTACATGGATTATGTACTTACCAGTATACCGGTAAGAGCCAATTCAGGAACCCATTCTGAGAATAGCCCTTGTGCCTAGCAGACATGAATCAATTACCATTATATACAGAAACAAACAGAGATGGTCCTCCTTACAATTTGAGCTGTTAATAACATTGAATGATAGCTTTTTTTGGTAGATTTTCAAGGGATTGTCAACTGTATCAAGCTGACTTATGCCAGTCCCGAAATTTTCAAATTATACAATTATCTTTTCATGTACTTTCCTAGGAAAAATGTACTAGTTACCTTTAGGTAGAAGGATATTCCTGTCAGAAAGCAGCCCAAAAATGTTCCGGATGCCGAGACCTAAATAACGAAAAGATCTCACAAAAAATTCTATCTAGCATGCTTTTCTTTGTATGTATCAGCTCAGCTTTGTAGCATTTATACCATTAGAAGAACCCGTCTTCCACTCTTATCCATTAGAATGGCTCCGAACAATGTAATAGGAATCTGAAAAGATCAGTGTTATAAACAAAATGGGCTTATTAGTTAATTTATTAACTAGAAGCAGTGTATCAAACCTGAATAATGCCAATCAAGATGGTTCCAAGTTTTCCAGAGAAACCTGAAGTGCGATAAAATCACAAAGTTCATACAGAACTGTCAGAGGACAACAACAGTGATCACAATATTTACGTACCTGCAGAAGTGAAGATAGAGCTTGCATAAAAGCCTACACCATTTATCCCTCCTAATTGCTGAAATATCATCAAGCCAACACCCACCTGTGTATATAAGATCCAGCAATTATGTCTGGTTCAGTTCTTTTCTAAAAAAAGTTTCACACTATCAGCCTCCAAATTCAGTGGTTGAAGTTTTAATGCGATTGTGATTTTGACATGAAGTAGTTGAAGACTTGAAGTGATTTCTTACAGTGACAGCGTATATATTTTTTCTGAGAAACAAATCTTGAACCCTGGCCTTTGGGAACCTATGGAGTGATTCAATATACTCCTGGAGAAAATGATCAGTCTGAGCAAAGTCCTTCACATTAAATTCTAACATATACAAGCAATTAGGACAGAATTAAACTTTAATCTCGACGGCCTCTTCAGAAACGTCAGCATCCTCTCCCCGTAGCATTTGCAATGAGGCATGAAATTCTTTCTCCCTTCCAACGTTAGCCTGTAATTTAAATGCAGTGGAACTCAATACAAGAAGTGCACTATGAAATTTATTACTGATGCTTCATAAGTTCATGTGTATGATCATGTAACCCCTTCAATTAATAAAGCAAGAAAATCATGGGGTAAATGGTCCCCCACTGACAAAATTCAGAACTTAATTTTGGTGTTCCATAGAGCGTTTGACAAAGGTAGAACTAAGAAGTTCATTACCAGCCATCTTGGTGACTCTGGAATGAAGAGAAGTCCTGTTAATAGCAAAACACATGGTACTATACCTGCACAAAAGAAAATGTATTTATTACCATCCAGCATGAATGTGAAGAATAAACATGTTATTTCTATGGATATGAAGACAAATTACCTACTAACACAAGATTACGCCATGCAACCAGGGCGCCAATTATGTATGTAGCTGAACTCCCAGAACAGATCAGCAACTGCGTGTGCAGAAGGTGCGGAGTGGAAACTATTAGGATTCAATAAAAATGCCTGTCGATATCCAATTTTCATTTTCTGAAACCTGGTTTGAAGTTGCAAGGCCTCCCCTGAGATTCTTTGGTGCTATTTCAGCGATGAACACAGGCACCTGCCATATCCAGCAATATGACGAAGAACATAAATGTGATAATTAGTCAAGGTAAAAAAAGTTGAAACCGATACAAGAGGGGAAGACGGACAGTCAGTGCCGTATTTTGAATCAAGAGATGCATACCACATAAGAAAGAATCCCAGTACTAAAGCCCAACAATATCCTTCCAAAGTAGAGCATGATAACACCCTGTACATCAAAACTCAAATATAAGATACCCACAAGAAACAGATAAGGACCAAGTGCAAGAATCATTTCACCAAGGAACAAACCTTAGCCAAATGCAAAGAAAGCCATCCAAAAATGCAAATAGTAGCTGATATCCGCATTGTCTGCGACAAACGAAAAATATGACACACCTGGAACATCAATTTACAGCAAACAGATAAATCAACCCAATTGAAAAATGGGACTGCTTTACCATTTTACGTCCAAGAAAATCTGCTAAGCGACCACTAGTGACAGCACCAATCATTGCCCCAATCGTCAGTACAGATCCGAATAGTGCAAACTGCAAGGTTAGAATGAGTCTATACATATCACAGTACTACATACGAGAATATTACAGCCGGTGAAAGTTGAGTACAAGTAGCACAGCAGAGCGAAAACCATGGAAGAGAAAATCACTGACCTGCGAAATGGACAGTCCAACTTCATCCACAATCCCTGACTGAGTGGGTGCAGAATAACCCACCTGCATATGAACATGGCTGAGTAACTAAATGATCACATTCGACATAGAGAAGGGGGAAAATAATCAATCAATACATTCCAGTGGACCAGGGATATATAAGTACTAGTAGCATATAGTTGGAATGGGAATATTGTACTCTAGCTGGAAAAGGCCATGAGAACATGTGCACATTTGCTGAGATACAACCAAATGTGGTGACCTGTCCACTTCACAACCCTTTGCACTTCCCATTCCTTGAAGCTTTGCAATTTCTTAGTTGAAGCTAGCAAAATGGTATGTAATTAGTCAGCTCTAATCAACTTTCCGTTTTTTACTGCAGATACTTTGGCATTGTGGCCTTCCTTGATTTTTACCTCTGCAAACTTACCAACTCGAATATACCGTCAGGCGTCAGCTGTCAGATGGCCCAACTGTATTGCCATTTTTGTTCTGCTTTACGCGTTTCTTGAACTCATGGGTCTCACTAATTAAGATTCTTTACACTTAAAAAGGAAAGTAATTAGAGGAGATATGTAAAAACAGAGTGAGAGCTTTTGCCCAGCCAGAATGGAAAGAATTCTCTGCAATGAACACTTGAATTATAAGTACGGTAGAAATTTCTGGGAGGAAACCCCGTCGTGTTCGTATTGATTTAATTTCTGTTTGAATTACTAATTGCTTTCTTGAGTTGAAAACCCTTCCATAGTGAGAGAAAGGAGGGGAAGGCGCTTACGCAGGTGCCGAACTCGAAGGAGCCGCACACGGCGACGGCGGTGGAGAGCATCAGCATCGACATGGACCCTCCTCCTCCTCCTCCGCGCCGACCCCCGCCATCGCCGCCCGCATCATTCTGGATCTTCTCCTCATCGCCCCGCCCCTGCTTGTGCTGCCGGAGGAGCAGCGGCGCCGTCACCTCGCCGCCTCCGCCTCCGCCGCCGCCGCCCGCGGCTCCGGCCACCACCGCGCCCTCCACATCCTCCGCGGCTCTCACTATCCCCATTCCCCCCGGCGCAACACGCACGCACGCACGCGCGCACTCGAGAGCAGCAGCGAGCGGCAATGGCAGCAAAACTCGGGAGGCCCAAGATTGGCAAGGAGCGCGAGCGTGTCGCTCGGGTCGGGAGCTCGGGATCTCTCTCTCTCCCTCTCGGCTCCTCTTTGAGGCAGCGCCGCTATTTATACGGGCGAGCGCGCCAGGGCGGGCCTCACTGACGCGTGGGGCCCAGCAGCTGACACCGCAGAGGCGGCGCGTTGAGCGTAGTGGAGTTAGGGGGGAAGAGAAATATCTCCCATTGTTTCGAAGAAAACGAGAAAAAAGAATCAAAATATCTCCGATGATCGAGGCCGATCGCAAGCACGCGGTAATTAATTACTACCCTCGCATTTCTAATTCATTAACCTTAATATAAATATCAAAAATATTAAAATAAATATGAAAAATATTATAATGACTTATATTATGAAATGGATATGAAATGGATGAAGTAATTAGTTAATCAATTAGTTAATGTGATCTCATTGTCGCGATAACGCTAAAGAAAACTCTGGGAGATCGATAGACGACGAGACGAGACGATAGCGTGATCGATCGATCGATTTTTGCATCTGACTGATCTCTGCAATGCGAGAGCGACAGGAAGGAGACGTAGCTTAGCTTGATTGATTTGGATTAATTATGCAATGGTGATGAGCTATTGAGCTGGAACCATGGCAGCATTCAAGCAGCGGTGTATAGTGCATGGACATGAATCCTCTGCGGTACTGTATTTGCAGTAGCAGTGGCTAGTAGGTGGACCCGATTCCACATGTCAGCGGTTGTTACTACAGCTGATAGTGTATACCTACCCATACACATGTGTGCTATCTGCAGCTAGCTATGCACACTCCAAAGCACATATGCTACTTGATTTTTTTTTCTAGTATAAGAAAATTGTAATGGAAGAATAAGAAGAAATTGTAGCATAGCATTTGTAGGCATATGATGATATGATGCCAAGGCCAGCACGATCGGTCGGCATGGTGGTTCTTGACTCGTCCGCAACTACTGTAGCTTAGCAATACCGCATACGCGCAATTGCGAAAAACAAAACAAAACTTAGCCTCCGGTTTTAAATCTGTGTTCTTGGCCTTTTTTCCAACTCACCATCAGGGATGTGCTCTTCGCCTTCTTTTTCACCTCATCTTCCTCTTTTTCCATGCCTTTTAAACCATAAAAGTTTTCTATAGAAAAGTTGTTTTATAAAATCATACTCCCTCCATTTAGTTTAAGGTTATAAGACGTTTTGACTTTGGTCAAAGTTAAACTTATTTTAGTTTAACCAAGTTTGTAGGAAAACGTAGTGACATTTTCAACCCAAAACAAATTTATTATGAAAATATATTCAATTATTGATTTGATGAAACTAATTTAGTATTATAAATATTACTATATTTGTCTATAATTTTAGTCAAAATTGACCAAAGTCAACACATCTTATAATCTGAAACGAAGGGAGTATTAATCTATTTTTTAAGTTTTTAAGACTAATATTTAATTAATCAAGTGTTAATGAATAACACCTTTTTTGTGCCGGAAGGTAGAATTTCTGAACTCGGCCTAAATACAATACATAACACCGTTAGCTTTTTTAACTCGTTTGGTTATTTGTCTTTTTAGAAATAATAGCTACCCCTACGTAAATAGGCAAACACAAGGCCGGGCACGATCTAGTGATACACTGATACTTTTCTCATTTTACGCAACTAAATAATTGAATGAATATTATTGATCTGAGGGAAAAGTAATGTATGTACTCATGGAATTGAAATGTGTGTTTGTGATGTGTTTGAAATATTAAACAAAAAATATAACAGTCTTTAAGTACTTTTGAACGGACTTTATATGTGATTCTCATATTTTTTTCCAATCTAAATATTTGAAAAAAAAACATTGACAGTTAAATCTTCAAAGGTTTATTAAGGTACGAATAAAACATGTTTTCACGGAATAACCTTATAGGTTCCACTTGGATGCTACTCAATTCTGACCCGTCAGCATGTGTAGGTCAAGAATTTGAACTGAAATTCCAGTGGATGGATGTGCCAAGATTGAGGTTCATGAAGCCGTATTAGTAGGGTGGTCGAACTGTAGAAGAAAACTAAGGGCCTGTTTGGCACAACTCCAGCTCCAACTCCATCCCTCCTCCAACTCTATCCCTCCTGGAGCTGGAGCTCAGCCAAACAGTTTCAGCTCCACCAAAACTGAGAGTGGAGTTGGGTTGAGCTCTCTCACAAAATATACTAGAGTTGTGAAGCTGGGTTTAGGCAGCTTCACAACTCTACTCCAGACTCAACTCCTGAAATTATATTTAGGAGTTGGGAGCTGTACCAAACAGGCCCTAAAGCATCATATTAATTCAAATCCTGATGTTCATATGTACACAACGAGCCCAGCGCTGGTGTGTCTGTGTCTCTTGCAAATGCAGCAAGGCTACACAACGACACAACGCGTTGTGCTCTCCCCAATAATCTCCATCCAACCAGCTCCAGAAATGTGCCACTGACAGCAAGGAAGCAAATGCAGTTCTGGACATTCTTCAAGCCCAGTTGAGACATACAATAACAATTCTATGACCAAGGTTGATGGAAGTCATGCAATGCACGTGTGTACAGTTCTCTGCCAGTTTTGATTACAAAAGTCAGAAAATGACATATCCATCCTACTTAAGTTCAGTGGAAATCATGCAGCTTCAACTAGGGCTGTGGCACCTCTTCAAACCATGTTGTCCATGTAGGATGAATAAAACCAGAGAGAAAAAGAAAACAAGAGAACCTAGCGGAATTGGGGAATCAGCTCGCAGGGACAGGGTAATTGGCAACCTGTCTGTGCTCCATTACCCTTTCCGATAAAACCATAGAAATTGGGGCTCCTGGAGTAGTTTCTGTTTCTTTTCCTTGTGTGCTCTGTTGAACTAATGAGATCATACTTTTGATTCGCATGGATTTGCTCTTTTAAGGAAACGATGAGCAATGAAGAAAGGCTGTGATTTAGAAAGCTTCAGTTTAGCATCCATACAGAACAGCGAAAATAACTTCATTCAGACTATTTACCAATAACTATTCACTACTTATCTTTTATGGATACATGAAAAGTTTAGAAAAACCTTACACAGAAAAGAGAAGTAAACAGTCTAACAGAGATAATATGAAATAAAACGAACAAGAGTGCATACCTTCCTTGCGACATAATGCGGCAATACTGCTTCCATACGTAATAACACGTTGATTATGTAGCATTTCACATAATCTTCTTTACAATTTTATGTTGGTAGTCACCATTAGCCTGAAAAACGAGTTCCTTTGTTGAATCTGCAGTAAATAACAAAGGATGCCTATAAATAATATGCATTTATCTTCTTCCAAGAACTGATAAAAATATTAATTTATGGGTTCAGTGAAATAAAGTGATTGATACATACAGGTTCAATCAGAAATAATTTACTGAAATTTAAATGCAAATGCTTATACGGTGAAAATGTACAATGGCAACCCCACAAGGTGTTGGAATATGCTCACAGGGTGAAAATGTACCAATGGTTTTAACACACCGTTTACTGTTTGAAAGATCATTCAACTTCCATGGGTAGTTAGAAGCAGGTTGCCCCTGACAATGTTATAATTACGCTGCTCCTGCCACATCTGTCTTCATACACGGAACATCTTTTGGTCTAATGTTCTTGACTAAGAACCAACTTCAATAGCAAGGAATTGTGCCAGTTGTTGGTCATTAGGCAAACAGTTGTAGGTAGCAAACCATGATAATTCACTTCAGAATAGAGTCCTTAGCCTTCGATAGAAAAAAATAACTATCTAGATTATCAGTTGTGGACCCTCAGAATTCTCTATCACACTTGCATTGAGCATGATCACTGTATCATGATAAAAAGGTGTTGCAATGCTTAGAATGCATTTAGCAATGCTAGAAACTCTGAAGCTTGAGCATAATTCTGATTTGTGAATGATGATCAACCTTTTTTGACTCATGCTCCAGAATATTGCAAGTGCACACAATCTCCTTCATGGATTTACTGGAATGGCACAATGCAGAGTTACAAAATAGAAATGAACCAAAGGTTAGCAGCAGCATCAATATCTTGAGCATCAGAATCTTCCATTGAATACATAAGTTGCTATCTCAGACAGCACCAACAAAAACATTGTCGTCTAGGAAGCATCAATCTTGGGTGAAACGGAGCAAACACAGCTGTAATTTGCAAGAAAACTGGTGGCTACTTGTTCGCCACCAAAATATTCTCCAACTCATGAGAGTAACATAACTTTCCTGTGCATAGCTGTTCGACAAGCATAGTACAAGCCAAGCTTCCTAGTTCATGTCCAATTTTGAACATTGTATTTAGGACTAACAGTGCATCATCCACCCGCCCAGAGGAGCTCAGCAATTCTACCAGGGAATTAAATGTATGTTCCCGAGGTTTCAGATTCTTCTTTAACATGCCTGCCAACCATGCCATGCCGTCCTCAGGTCTCCTGGCTTTACAGAACCCATTTATGATACTATCATTGATCCGCGCTAACGGTTCCAAGCCCTTAGCATGCATCACCTTAAGCAATTCAACTGCAGCATCAACCTGTCCTTCCTCACACATGGTGTCAATGAGCGGCGTGAAGGTTGACACACTTGGCTCCAAACCAGATGACAGTAGCTGCTCGTACACCTGTATTGCCTCACTCAACCTCCCAGCCTTGCATAAGCCCTGAATCAATATGTTGTAAGTAATCACATCATGCTCAATCCCCTTTTTAACCATTTCCTCAAACATCCCAAGCGCTTCGTCCACCCTCCCATGGGTACAAAACCCTGTGACCAAAATGTTACAGCTGACTGTACTCTCCTTTAAACCCTTCCCGAGCATTTCATCATACACCTTGCGAGCCATCTCGAAATCACCAGCTTTACAATAGTAGGCCACCAGAGAGCAGTAGGCATACTCGTTAGGCTCCATTCCTTTGTCCACCATCTCATTCCAGATTTGCCGCGCTTCGTCTATGCAGCCCATCTTGCACAATCCGTCGATCGCCGTTGTGTATGTGACCGCATCGACGTTGTAGCCCCGCAGCTTGATCTCGTTGAAGACTCGCAGGGCCTCGCTTCCCATCTTGTGCGCGAAAAGCCCGTGGATAATGCGCTGGTAGATGACCGTATCTGGGACACTTCCCGCGGCGATCATGAGGTGGAGCGTCTCGGACACCTTGCCGAAGTTGGCGGCGGCGGAGAAGGCCGCGACGAGATCCGCAACGGCGTCAAGCTGGGGAGGGACGCCGCGGCGAGCCCCGTCGCGGAGGAGGCGGAGGCCGTCGAGCGGACGGCCCTCGGCGGAGCAGGCGCGCACGAGGAAGGCCACGGTGGCGGCGTCGCCCGGGAAGTCCGGGGAGGATGAGAACGCGGAGAAGAGGCGGAAGACGAGGTCGGGGCGCGCGGCGCGGAGGGCGGAGCGCATCGCGAAGTTGAGGGCGCGGAGGGAGGGGTGGATGCCGAGGCGTGAGGCGAGCACCTCGGCGGCGTCGGCGGCGTCGGGCGGCCAGAGCTGGATCAGGAAGCCGTCCACGCCGGGGAGGAGCGGCGGCTCGTGCTCGTGCTCGTGCTCGGGCTCCGCCGGTGCGGCGTCGGGGGCGGCGGGGAGGTGCGAGGAGAGGAAGCGCAGGAAGCGGAGGGAGGGGTCAGGGGAAGGCAGGAGGTGGGAGAGGGTGAGGCGGACGCAGGCCGGGTGGAAGAGGAGGTCGCCGGGGAGGAGCGAGAGGAGGCGGGACTCGTAGCGCGCCGCGCCGAGGATGTTCGCCGCGGCCGTGGCGGCCGCGGCCAGGAAGGTGGCCGGCGGCGGGTTGTTGGCGTCGGCAGCAGCGGCGGCGGCGGAGGTGGAGGTGGAGCAGAGGCGCTGCACGGAATGACGCACCGGCCGCAGCATCGTGGCGGCGGCGGCGGCGGCGCGAGGAGTGTCAAGTGTGTCACGGTGGCCGCGGCCAGGTTTGCCTACGAAGACTTTTCCAGGCTTGGAGGCGGGTCAGATGGGCCGCTGGCCCATGGGCCCATGGGCCTTCGAGTTCTCCTAGATAAAAGCGCCCCGTGCCGTGCTGCATCGTCACCTCTCCTCGCCCAAGCCTTCGTCGACAGAAAGAAAAAAAAATCCAAACCTCAGAGAAACCCTAGGCCGGGTCGCGGCGAGTCGGCGGCGATGGCCGGGTACCGGAGCCGGAGCCGGAGCTACAGCCCGCAGCCGCGCCGGAGGTACAGCCGGAGCCCCCCGCGGTACAAGCGGTACGATGACCCGCGCGACCGCTATCCTCGCGGCGGAGGTGGAGGTGGAGGTGGAGGCGAAGGGCCCCGCCGCGGGTATGGCCGGCCGCCTGCGCCGACCGGGCTCCTCGTCCGCAACATCTCGCTCACCGCAAGGTGCGTAGCCGTTGCCCTCTTTGGATTATTATTTTTTTTTTGCCCATTTGATCTAGGGCTTACCGCAATTTGAATAATTGCTAGTAGCACAGCGCTATGTGGTTTGGTTGATACGTTCAGTGTGTAATCCCTGTGAATCTGCACATTGTTTTGTTTGGTAGTTGCATTAGGCTTGGTTGTGTGCTTCTGTGCTTTTCAGTCTTATATGTGTTTTTATTTGTTGCTGTATTCAGAATAAAAAACAGAGCAGGTTTGTTTTGATGTGGAACTGTTGAGAAAATACGACGGTTTTTTTCCTGATAGTTTGTATGCCAGCAAATGCTTGCTGGACTCATGGTAGTGGGCTGTTTCACACTTGTTGCTCTCTAGGAGAGAACAAATGTTTTGGAAGCCATTCACTAAGGTTGAACATGTTGGTATAGGTAGCTTCCATATTCCATACCCTACCTTAGTAACCTAATGCATTTTTCTAATGGTTTTGCGCATTGGATGTTCATCTGTACAGAGTGCCTTGAGATTCATGCATCAGTTAGACATGCAAACCAGAATTCCCATCTTCAAATAGCTCTTATTGTACATTAAAAATTTCCTAGCACTTTAGGCCCTGTTTGGGGAGCTTGTCCCAGCTGCAGCTTTTCCCAAAAGCTGCTTCTGCTAGAAGCTGCCCCAAACAGTCCACAGCTTCTGAGAATCTGTAGTTCTGAAAAATGAACTAAGAAGCCATAAGCTGGAGAAGCTGGGTTTCAGAGCTTTTCCAGATTCTCAGAAGCTGGCTACCAAACAGCTGCTTCTCATAATCTAAAGCTCCCCCAAACAGGCAGATACAACAGTGCATGGATGTCCACATATGTGGATTAGCATTTCTCTTGCATTTTTTTGTATCATCCAAGCTTTCACCCAAATGTCTTGTTACCAGGTTTTAACAACTCAAGTGTCAGGTTGGATTTTAACTGCATATATTGAGATGGAACATTTTTCAGATCTATTATGAAGTTTTATTTCGGTAGAGGCTAAATTGTAAGCACTAAATTGTGTTCCTTTAAGTGTTCCTAGAATTAATCTAGTTCTTTTAGATATGGCTTTGTTAGCAGAACCGTTGTTTTATGAACTTTGCATCATATAATGCTGCTTATGTCTCTGGAAAACAAAAACAAATGTATGAACTCTGGATGTATTCATATTTGTATATAGACAGTGGTTGCAACCTTTGATAATTCAGATCTTGTAGTTTGGAGACATAATGCTACTGTTCTAGGTTCCCTTCTCGATAGTTTGGAACGCTCAGGATCTTTTTTTTAAGTCAACATTTTCTACACTGCAAGCATGTAGTACATAAGTAGCCAGTGCACAGTAAATCATTCTTATATACAGCTTTCCACAATCACATACTGAAGTATCTTCTTTTTGTATGTAGATGATTTTGCACTGTAGCTACTAATTATGGTTTAATATTATTTGATTTTCGTTTTTTGCAGGCCTGAAGATATTCGTATTCCGTTTGAGCAATTTGGCCCTGTAAAGGATGTCTACCTTCCAAGAAATTTCCATACAAGGTAATAATAACTTATCTTATGTTTCTTACACAATTGTTTTGGTGCATTTGAGTTCTAGTTAAGTCAATATCTTAATTCTGGAACGTTTATCATGTTGCACAGAAGATAAGCAATTCTTTGAACAACATGAAGAAATTGCGTTAATTGAACCCAGTAATTTTTATCATTATTATGAACATTTCAAAGAGCATTTGTTTCCAGGCTGCCTTATGCTTGTGCTTTGATGTTGGTCTGAACCATGTATTCTGCTTGGAAATAGGGTTTATAGATGCTTGTTGCACATTCTGTGTTCTTTTAAGAATGTCTTTTGATGTGTATATTGATTTTGTCTGATTCACAATCACTTCCATGATCGTGTTAAATTGTTGTAGGGAATTACGTGGCTTTGGGTTTGTAAAATTCCGCTATCCAGAAGATGCTGCAGTGGCCAAGCAAGAATTGAATCATCAAGTTATTGGTGGACGAGAGATTTCAATAGTTTTTGCCGAGGAGAACAGAAAAACCCCACAAGAAATGCGGATGAGGACAAGAACAAGGTGCTTAATTTTTTATATTTTACCAACTTCCAGATTAGGCATTTGGAATATATATGATAGCAGCGACTGGAATTTGATGTAACAAAAGAAATGCTTTGTGCTTCTGTCTGTGTAGTGGAAGATACATGGATGGTAGCCACAGAAGGCGGTCAGTATCAAGATCTCCAAGGTCTCGTTACCATTGTAAGTATAAATGTTTGTTATATGAGTTAATATTTTATGATTTTTAATCTCATCACTAAATGATCTCTATTTCCTGTCAGCTTATTCACCTTCACCCTCTCCAGCTAGACGTGACTACAGGTATCATCTCAATATTTTAGTATTTACATATAGCATAGCAAATACGCTTGTCCTCTCCTGTTTGTCAGTGTTTCACTCTTTTTCCTTTCAAACATCTCTGTGCCAAGTTATTTATTTGTGCTTTCGGCATATCCTGATACGCCGTTGACATTTATGATTCATTAATTTTGTTTTGGCGGTTGCGAGTGTATTGTTGTGATAAGGGAAGTTGTAGGATTATATGCCAAATTTATGATTAGTGATCTAGTTTCTTGCTTAATAAATGAGCAATAAGTGCCTTCCATCGACCCCTAATTCCGATGATTATTTTCATGTCCTAGAATATTTTTTTTATCTTGATTTACTGTCAATATATCCTTGCTTGGTTTCAAAGTGTAAAGTAGTTATACTAATTTTATTAGTTCCTTGCTCAACTTCAGTAGAAGTTACGTTCCTAGAGGATTGCTAATCATGGTTGTAATGCTCATGGTGATTGGAAAAATCATCATTAGAAAATGAACCATAGTTATTGATGATATAGGTTGAATGTGCCAAGGAACAGTTGCGTGGAACTCCACCTTTCCTTCTAAATCCCATGGAAATACTTGGATTGATGAATCAAGTACCCAGGAGGTTGTTCACATGATAGAACATAGTAATTTATATTAACAAGAAAATGACCAAAAGGACTTTCTTGTGTGTACACTCCCTGATTAGCTATATGATTGTCAGATTATCTGATTAACTGTTGATGATTTGCTCTTCTATATTTTTCTTCATGAAGTGTAAGGCTAAATTTGCTCTAAATTTGTTGCTTTGATTTGATATTATCCAGTCAAGAAAGAATCTAGAGTCTAAAAAGCCAAAAGAGAATTATGATGTTTGGACAATAAAGATCAACGTGAAAGTACCACGATCTCCAGAGTTGGAGCATGTGAAAGGCATTCTTCTTTAAGATAGAGTGGCACTGTTGCCCGGGGTTTAAAGATAATCTTTGGCTAAGAAACCTGAGGAAAAGAGTTATTTTCAAGTGTGCTGATGCTGTTGAGCTTAGTCCATTGCACATTGCATGTTTGGATCAAAGTGGGTAACTTATACTGGGATTGAACAGGTAAAATTGATATCTTGCATTTGATTCTGTTAGCTTGGGCTAGGCATGCCTAACTAATGGTGCTGTTGCTGTACTGCAGTAGCTCTGCTCTAAACAAGTGCAGTTACCTCAAATCCAGTTTGCTGATAATGCTAATCTTGTTGTATTTGTTTCTCGTCATTTTTTTATTGTACTGCTGCTTGTATCCTTTGTAAATAATGGGCATTTGAACCTCTAATTGTTTGGAACAGGGATCACCGTGATGATTATTCACCTGGGGAATCACTCTCTCCACATGGTCAGGACAAGCGGCACCACAGATCAAATGGTCGATCTGCTAGCCCAGATGAGCTCGAGCGTCATGTATCTCCATCCAATAATGGACATGGTCCTCCAGTTGATGGGAAAAGCTGATAAAGATCTCGCTCCAAGGTTGCTTGCTTGATTTTCTTTTTTTAAAAAAAAAAAAACTTTTGTGCGTTTCTTCTATTGCAAACTGTGTATGCTCTGACATGTTTAATTCCTGTGCAGGCGAGGCAAGCGTTTGAAGTTTGGAGTTCTTGGATCAAGAGTTGGAAGTTGGAACTAGGGAGCATGCAAATTACACCACCATGAAATGTACCGTGGTAGTGCCTTTTATGCTATTTTGTAGAATAGATAAGCAAAGCCTGGTAGCGAAGTAAGTTTGTACACTCCATATGCAGTTTGCCTATCGATACTTAGGTTAGCGCCTGCTGCTTTTGCTTTTGTTGATCTGTTTTAAATGATTTTCTATCTGATCTTTCTTAGTTTGTTTGCTGCCATGCCGACATGCATCTTGTGCCCACTTATCTATTTGATTATGTTCCATGGCTTCTACCGTTTTTCTGTTTTCCCAAGCAGGGTCTTATTGCTCAGCGTGAATATTACACCAAGTACCTAATTCGTCTATTCTTGCCTCCTGGTCAAACAGACTGGGTGACTGAATGTTGTTAGGCGTGGTTAATGAAAAATCATGGGAATGAAATCCTAGTTTGCAGTCCTGTGATGTAGAAATGTGCTAGGATCAGATCTACTTTCAGCCATCATTGTGATGCAGTCTCTATGCTAACATCGAAATGGTGTTCGATGCTCTTCACAGATTGGGGGAAAGAAAAAGTGGTTGAGATAATGCAAGGGCACTATGGCATCGCGCTTGCTTACGAAGCGATCATTTGCAGCTTCACAACAAACCGATGCTTACGTGAATAATAAAATTGATGATGATGACCTATAATAAATTGAATTTATGAAGTAATTTAGGGACGATGTATGACGGTAATTTAGAGAGGAAAGACGATGAAAAGCATACAATGATTAGCGACTCAGCGTTTGTAGCCCAGTGTAATAAGCACATTTCTGGCGTTTTATTGTGAACAGAACCCGGTAAATTTCCAGGACCAGCTTGATCGAGAAGAAATCATATACGCATTTCAATTTTATCTACTTTCGCCGTTCCAAATTAGTACTGTGTTTTTTTACTTTATCCCAAGTCTAACATTGCTAACTTTGGTCATCAATTTTTAAATCTAGATTTACATAGTTTATAACAACATAAATTTAAGATTCATGTTTTTGATTCACCTTAAGAAATACTTTCATAATATATAGTCAAAAGTTAAACCGTATGGATTTATAGAAATTAATTATCAAAGTTAGGAATGTTAGTTTGAAACATATGGAGTATTCATTTCAAATGAATTAGATACATGTAAATAGGTAAACTTTCAGAAGTTAAGATTTATTGGGGGCTGCTAATTCGCGCGTATGCGCCGCTACAATAACTCACACGCACTTCCACGTACAGCGAACCCTCCTATCGTTAATACTAGCGTTAATCACGGAGATTACAGTTAATTATGGTGCTACAGTAATTTCTCAATAAAATATTAAAAATTGATTTTAAAAATTCAGTTGAAAGTATTCAAATATTGACTTGAAATTTTTCAAAATCTAATTTGAAAGTTTTCAAATACTGACTTAAAAGTTTTCAAATCTGAGTTGAAAGTATTTTAGTTTTGAGTTGAAAGTTTTGAATTTTGAGATGAAAATTTTGAATTTTGAGTTAAAAGTTTCAAAATTCGATATGAAAGTTTTTAATTTTGAGATGAACATTTTGAATATTGAGTTGGAAGTTCTCGAAATTTGAGTTGAATGTCTTTCAATTGCAAGTTGAAAGTTTTCAAATTTGAGTTAATTTTTTTTTCAAATTTGAGATGGAAAGTTGAAAGTTTTCAAAATTTGACTTAAAAAAATTCAAATTTTGAGTTGAAAATTTTCAAATTTTGACTTCAGGTATATATTTCTTTTCAATTTGTTAGTTAAAAAAAATCTCCCGAAAAAAAATCTCATTTATTACCATTATTATCTAAGACTAATAGATTAGTTACACTAACTCCTCGCGAAAAATGCGCACTGCCAACACACCACACCAACTAGCATTTTCCGAGATTTCTCGTAACTTAATAGGAATGGCGAATAGTATTGTTGAAAAATACTTCTTTTACAAATCTATATAGTTATATAGTTTAACATCATAAGATTCATGATTTTAGATTCACCATGAGAAGTATTTTCATAATTTATGATTACACGTTATAAAATTGTATGAATTTTTAAAAGTTAATGTTTAATATTTGAGTTAGAACAAAACTGAAAGGCAATTTGAAATGGAAGAAATTGTTGGTCTCAAATGAGTTAAATAAGACGAATAAATAGACAATTTGCAGATGTTAAGTGTCTTTTGTAACTTACGAGAATTATGGATTCTCGTGGGTCCGCAAGCTCCTATATAGTACTTCCATCTCATTTTGACCATTCTTAAGATTTTTTTAGGTCTTTCAAAATTGATCGTCATCTAAACGGGGTCTATTTATTTACTTGTGCATGAGTAAATACTACAGGTGTACATCTATTCGTTTACGTGTGCATGAGTAAATGCTATAGTTGTATATTGGCTTTGTTTAGTTCCATACCAAAATTAAAAGTTTGACTAAAATTGAAAGTTTGATGAAAAAAGTTGGAAGTTTACGTGTGTAGGAAAGTTTTGATGTGATAGAAAAGTTGAAAATTTGAAGAAAAAGTTAGGAGCTAAACTCGGCCAGTGTTTGTTTATCTGTGCAGGAATAAATGACATCGTTGCATTCCCACGCGTATTTAACACAACACTTTTAATCGATAAGGTTTAATTTAAAAAGTAATGATATTTTCTTGTCTTGGTCTTGGCGCCATTTACAAATATGATAATTAAATTGGGATGAAAGGAGTATCGGAGAACATTTTCCATCGGTATTTCTTGTTCATCACATTTTTCTAATTGAACTTTTTAAACTCAACTTATCAACCTTTTCTATAATATCTAATTAATTCATTCGTTTACGTTATTGAATAATCCCAGTTTCATCCGTCGTGTATAAAGAAATATACCCCAGTAAAATCAATCAAAAAGGAAAAAAAAGAGAGAAAAAGATGGCACACGAGAGCGGCGACACTTTGCTTCGCTTGGGTTTCATCGTCGTCCCCTCCTCCTCCTTCCTTTGACCTCGGCTCGATCGACCATCCCGCGGAGGAGACGACGCCGCGGCGGCGGCGGAGGACTCGCCGGCGGCGGGGATGGACGTGCCGTGGCTGCTGGTGGCGCACGGGTCGGTGACGGCGCTGGTGGTGGTGTCCTTCCTCTGCGGGCAGTGGCCCATCTTCGAGGGCACCTTCGTGCAGCGCATCAACCACTTCCTCACCTTCGGCGCCTACCACCACCTCCTGTGCGCGCTGCTCCTCCCCCTCCCCTCCTTCCCCTCTCCTCCCCTCCCCATGGTAACCCCCCGCTCGAGGGTTTTTTTTTTTCTTGCGCAGGCGGCTCGTCCACGCGGCGTGCGGCAATGGGGCCAGGGATCTCGTCCTCGGCGTCGAGAGCTACTGCTGCGACCGGCCCAACCCGATCCTGCAGGTCCGCATAGCAAACTCCGCTACTCACTGGTTGTGGTTGTTCTTGAATCTTAAGCGGCTTTGGGGACATATCGTGAGGAGGGCGTTTGATGATGCATATTTCAGCCCAGACAAATAGACTGTGGTTGATCCTCGCCTGGTGATGAGTTCCATCGGAAAATGTGGAGCTTATGCGGAATGGGAATATGATTTTCGGTTCAAGTTTGGTGGATGTGTTAGGGTTCTTAATGATCGATTCGGCGGTTTATTGACTATGCATTGCATAAGCCTGCTACTTCTGCCGAACAATTAGCTACAAGTTGCCCGAAAGAGGGATATTGAGTTGTGCTGTTGAGTGAGATATAAATTGACTTGTCTTTGTGGTAGCTATTTCTCAACATGTTTTCTAGCTAAAATATATAATTTTATATGGAGGCTGGCCTTTAGTGGAAAAGAAGTATTAAGAATGCTATAAAAGAACACCTATGTATTTTGCCACTCATTGCACGTAAGCTCTTTGGGAATGCGCCTGTACTTATCCCTCATTGGTCATGATTGGTCCATTACTTTGAATGGGAGGGCCGCGCCAACCTTGATGATCTCAGGGTAGAGGTGGTAGGGAGGGAACAAAAACAATCGAGTAGAAAAGAGATTTGGATTGTGGGAAGAATGGAAGTAAAAAGTGGGATAATATTATAATAGAGACATGTTGCTTGTTGGTATCAATTGAAATGGGGACACTTGGGTTTTAGTAGTTGAGGTCTGTTTAGATTCTTTGCATCAAATAGGGTACATCATTGATTACTTTTAAAAATGTATGATAAAGATGCAGCGGTGCCTTATATCCTTATATATTGAAATTTTGGTTAAATGACTATTTTTCTAACACCTAAATTCTTTTTATGGAAAATCCGTAAACCATAGGTCAAACAATGAGCATACTCATGTCCCTTTTTGTACGTTGATTCTATAAGAGCACATGCCATATTGCTGCCAAACTCTATTTTTTTATATATATACCTGATTGTGTTCCTTTTTCATTTATCTTTCTCTTGTTAGTGAGAAAGAAAAAATGTTCCTCCCAGGTATTCTGTTTTTTGTTTGCTCTGTGTGCTTCATTTAATGTTTGAATAACTGTTGGATTGTTTTGTTAGAAAATTATCATCTGTGATCAACACAACTTCCTAATTTTAGTGCTGTTTCTTCTCTCACCTACAGATTTTTTACGTTGCCATAATAGGGGTAACATATTTTATAATCGTCCAGACATCTTTCCAGTACATTCCTGGGTACTATGTGAGTGGACTGCACAGGTAGCTTTTAACTATTAGCCAATTTTGAGACATAACTTTACCGACACTGGATAATCATATTTCTTACTCTTGCAGATACCTGAGTATCGTGGCTGTTGCTATTGGTGCTTTACTCTTCGTGCTGACTAGCTTTTCTGATCCTGGAACTGTCACTGCTGAGAATGTTTCTCAATATCTATCTGCCTATCCATATGATGGCATCATTTTTGAGGAGAAAGAGTGTTCTACCTGCAAGATTGCCAGGTACACTTTAAATGAAATTATCATAGAATAGCTAAAAGTTAAAAACATGTAATACGATATATTCTTATGGTAACTGTTTCAGTATCTCCATAAAATTTTACGAACTAGTAACTATGAGTAATATAGCATAATTATTGATTTGAAGTTATTGTGATTGTGATCTGAAGATAACAATGTAGAACTAAATATCCACTCTTCTCTTACATTCCTCTTCCTATCAGTCAGCTTTGTTTACATCCTATAAGAACAGCTCATTGATTTGCAGGCCAGCCAGGGCAAAGCACTGTAGAATATGTGATAAATGTGTTGCACGGTTTGATCACCACTGTGGATGGATGGTACTTTTACTTTCGATTATATGGTATTGGTTTTGCTTTGTTTGTATATTAAATTTATCTTTATGTGAACAGAATAACTGCATTGGGGAGAAAAATACTCGCTATTTTGTGGCCTTTTTAGTTTGGTAAGTTCTTCTCGGATTTCTGTTCTTCCTAACATCTTTTTACCTTTTTTATTTTGGCATAATTAGACAGTTTCTTATAGACTTATTTTTTTTGCTATCAGATGCATCTCTCTAACCCTTTTTCTACTTCATAATTTTGTGCAATAGCACCCCAGAGTATTTATTATTTTCCTCAAAACACAGTATTTTCTCAAACTTCAAACCACCAACCATAGAAACATTGATTAGTGTGACATGCCCATTGGGCATCCATTAATTCTGAAACCTAGTCAAGATGCTAGCCTGTTGTTATGCCACGTTACTATGTCTGAAATTGTAAGTAGCAACACTGTTAATCTAACTTATCTGCTGGATATCTAACAGATCTAAAATTAAACGTATGGTTTTATTGAGCTACATAACATTTCCTTGTCTGCTGTTGTTTATAACAGGCATTTCCTTATATGTCTGTACGGAGCGGTTATTCTTGGTTTCATTCTTGCTGGTGAATTAAAAGAAAGGAAAGTTGTCTACATATTGACAGGTTACAGTTCTCTTTTTAGACAACCCGCACCCTTATTCATCAGGAACCACTTACTTACATATGCTGAGTTAAACTCTACCATTTATGGAATGCACACAAATACTTTCTTCTGTTGTGTAAGATAAATAAAATTAACCAGAATTTCATCACCAGCTTCCTGAATTTCTGTAGTTTCTTATTTGACTATGAACAACTTCAGTGCATTTGAGAAATCGTGTACACTATGGCTTGTAAATAATTGAGGAATTACATATGTTCTATTCTTTTCCCATTTCATTTTAACTTGTACTTTTTTCCATTTGTAACAAATTCCCTTTTTGTGTTGACAGTTTATTATGGCATCGACAATTCATTCTCTGGGCTATTTCCACATGTTGCACAGGTATGGTATAGAAAGAGACTTAGTCTTTAATTAGAAAACACATTGAATATCTTCTTTAACTCACGATCACTTTTGCAGTGGCTGCTTGCTGTGCATAACACACAGATACTCTTAGCGGTCTTTTTGGCTATAATTGCATTGCTCCTTGGTGGGTTTTGTGCTTACCACACACATCTTTGCTTAACAAATACAACAACGAATGAGGTAAGTCTTAATTTCCTAAACCTAATAGCATATTAACCATTTGAAAATTTGTTCTTTGAAAGCTCCATCCTTGCACTTCTAATTGTTAGATCTTGCACTCAAAAGTTCTTTTCTTGATAGAAGAGAAGAAAGAACATCTTAATCAATGTAGGATAATTTACGCGATTTCTTGCTAGAATCGAGATGATACTAGACATTATCAAGTAACAAATCAGTTGTTCCAAGGAAAGTAAACTAAGCTTCTAATGTGTTACTAATACAAAATTATGATTTGTTCCTCTTTCCAAATTTCATCGTGTGAACATTTTGCAGACATTCAAATGGCAAGACTATATTATGTGGAGGAAAAAGGTGAACGAGGAAAAGGCTGCTGCAAATGGTGAAGTGCGCAAATCGCCACCAAGCAAATGGAAGGCGTTTTTCTCTAGATCACATACTGAGGCCGATGAAACAATTGTGAAAAATAACATATATGACAGAGGCATGATTAGAAACATGTGCGAGGTGTTTGTCCCTTTGTCAGAACGGCAGTCATTTTCCCGCAAGAAATCTGATTGATCTGAATGCTGTTGCAGCTTTGCACCTGTTGTATCACTTCTATGCTGTAAATCCTTGTAGAATATTAGAATCATTTTTTCCATACTAGAGAAGAAACAGTCTGAGGATGGTGATCAGGAGTGAGCATCACACAAGGAGACCCCCCACCAAAAAAAATTCAGATCTGCCCAAGTTGCTTTTGGTTTTGCTCTCCTGGAATAGTAGGTTTGAACAACAGTATACTACCAAGAGTTGATAACTTACTTGATAGAATCTGTTGACAGCATATGGGAATGAGAATTGTACATTGTCTTGGTTATTTCTTTACTTTATTATCCATGCTGGGATTTTTGTCTTAATGAATGAGTATTGCTTCGTTCAATAGTCAAGCGAGAACAGTTAAAAAGAGGGTTTATTTGAGGGAAGCTTAATCAAGCAGTAATGGGCTAATGGCAGAAACCCTGATGTTGTCACTTTAACATCAACTGGTGGTCACATGTCAGAAGTTGCATTGAATATTACAAACATATTCTCATTTGAGACGTGGGCTAGTAAAGAAAATGATTAGGAATTTAGGATATATGTTCAGTGAAGTGAGATGAGAAGAAATTCAATTGTGAGACCTTTTTGGTCATGCTCATCAGTACACAATAGCTGAATCGCCTAGAAATGAAAAGATGCTCTCAAAAGAAAACATGAAATCTATACAAATTCTAAAACGGACAAAAAAAACTCATATTCCTTCATTTCTTTCCTCCTCTATGTAACTTGTGTAGTTCTTTCTACCAAAAGGATCCCTATACTTTTGAAAGGAATAAAAAAGAAACAACTTTCAAATCCCCTTTGTGTAAAATGAAGCTATCAAGTATCAACTATTGGATCCTGATTCCCTCAAAAAAAACAAAAAAACTATTGGATCCTGATGAAATCAAACAAATATCACTTGTCATAATCTGCACCATCAACAAAACGAGCGTACTCTGTCCCATTTAGCTTCTCGCTCACTTCCTCCCAATTATCAACAAGGTCAGGAAGAGGGCTTGTGTGGATCTTCACATGCCTGCTGGACAACCTCATCGCTGGAACTCCAAGGAACTCTTGAACTCGCGACAGTGCCTGCATGAAAAAAAAAATGTTACTGTTTCAGTAATTTGAGTATGGGGAAAAATATGTTACTATTTCAGTAATTTGATGGTCAGTTCAGTAATTTGAATGGGGATTGGTGGTCAGTTCAGTAGCCTGAGGATTCATGTTACTATTTCAGTAGTTACTGTTTCAGTAATTTGTGTGTGTTCAGTACATTTTGGTCGCGGATCACATCCTCGTAGTAAAGGATCATGTGGCGCGTGCTGCTGAAGTGATCCAGGCAAGTTGTGATGGATTGTTCAGCAGATCTGATGTTTGGAATCAGAGTTGGCACGTCTAACTTCGGTTTGAACCTTGCTAGTATATCAGCCTGCCCAAAGCATAAGGTATAAACAGGATTAAGTAATGCAGTAAAGAAGAAATGGATCATCAAACCAGTTAAAACTATAGCATATGAAAAGAGAATTCTGAAGGATGACAAGAACACAAGTGGATGAAACCAACCATAAAAATAATCTACTCCCTCCGTTTCAGGTTATAAGTCGTTTTGACTTTGATCTGTTTCAAGTTTGACTAAGTTTATAGACAAATATAGTAATATTTGCAATACTAAATTAGTTTCATCAAATCAATAATTAAATATATTTTCATAATAAATTTGTCTTGGGTTAAAAATATTACTATTTTTTGTACAAACTTAGTCAAACTTGAAGCAGTTTGACTTTAACCAGTCAAAACGATTTATAACCTGAAACGGAGGGAGTAACATTTTGATCAACAAGAATCTGGACATGTTTTAAAGTTTTAGAAAAAGCAATATTCTAACGTAATATTCCCATTGCTTTATTGCCTATTCAGGACAGGCAAACACACTATTCGGTATCGATTCTGTCATAAATATTACTACGTAATTGACCCATACAAGAAATTCAAGAAAAAGTGAAACATATTGCTTTGGATAATATATCTGAGAAGATTGCATGGGTATGAAAGTGAGAGGCACCTCCTCCCTAGAATGAACATGTGCTTTGTGGGTGCCATTCAACTGCTTTGTTTTTCTGTCGTAGTCGTTAGCCAACACAGATATAATCCTCCTTAATGTATTCCTCCTGAACAGAAATATCACCATGACACCCTTCTTGTTTAAATAATTAACAATGTCGTGATAATGTTCCATAATTCCCTGCAAATTTTGGAACAGATCAGTTCTATACAATCCAACTTTTTTATAACTTTGCACTTAATTGCCTGAGGATAGTTTGGATAGCAAGAATATATGTCGGTGAGTACTGAATTACTTGAGGGCATCTGTTCATGCATACACGGAACAGGCACACAAGCACATTTGCTTAAAATTAGCACATCAGCATTCTGACATCTAGCATCCAATGTTGAGTAGTATCACCTTCATTTTCTTCTTCACAGAACCAATTCCCTTTGTTACAACAATTTAAGTTGTAACTTGTAGGATGCCTTTTTAGTTTTGACCAACAAAGAAAAATCTATTTTGAATAAATGACATTGGGTTTTCTATATGAGTCAATTCGGGTCACTAGTAGTAACTAGTTCAGAAGATTTAGAACTGCCTTCAAATATCTGGTAGAGTTAAATAATTTCTACTCCTATGTGATATCAAGAGGTTGGTGCATGTCTTCATCAATGTTAGAATCAGACCAGAGTAAACAATAATAGCTTGCTCAGTCACATCGGGATCAAAGAAATGATGTGAACTTCACAACAAACTAACTGAAAGAACATAAGCATAGACCCCAAAAGGTTATGCAATGTAATATACCTGATTTAGCATCCACTTCAATCCAAATGCAGCTGTGCATTCATTTTTTGCTGCACTGGTGTGCCAATCCAGATTATAAAGCTTATCAAGCGTCCTCAAGATAGATGAGATATCTTCTCTTCTCTCTCTTATTGAGAAAATTTCGCCATTTGAACTGACATTGGGATGGCTATTTAGCAAAGTCTCAAACCACCCACTTCCTGATCTTTGCATAGAAATGATAACAAAAAACCGAACTGGAGTACACGCGCATTCCCCCCTGTCAATGAGAAAATATTGTCAGAATGCACATGAAAAAAATAACAAAGGAAATGTATAATGTAGCACAGGATTAACACAAGAGATTCTATCTAGAAAATTACCTACTGTAACTCGTAGGTTTTGGAAAGTGCACATATTGCATCAGCTCATTTGGAATTGTATGTCTTCTGCAAAGAGTTCTTATTTGTTCTTCTCCACTGATCAAATTTTCTTTATTTTCTAAATCTATTTGATTAAAGGAGAAGTAGCAGACGTAGAACCCAAATAATGCAATTAAGAAGACAAGAATTGATCGCAGAGGAAACAATGGTCCCTTCGGACTTTTCAAAGCATACACGCTCTGCAATAATGAAATTCAGTAATCAGGTTATGTAAATATTGAATACGTGAAACAAAAGAAAAATTGCATTGCGGCATTGCCTAATAATTTTTACCATTTTCTCTTGTATCAGTAGAGTCTATGCTGCTACATTAACTGACTGCTAATTCGCCCATTTAGTAGCATTTGCAAGTCAACTTCTTTGCCCTCATTGCTAGAGCAGCTCACCTTTTGTTAATGAATAAAATTACAGCGCATTAATGTTAACTGAAATTGTGATTCAGAGCTATAAAAGGCAGAATACAACAATTACGACAACGGTTGTATAAAATGGTTGTGAGGACATATTTGCATTAAAAATTGCTGCCATGTCAGGTTTAATTGCACAAACGCTGATGACTAGTAGTAAAGTGGCATGCAGCATAACTACTTTGCATCTGAAACTGAAGGCAATATGAAGGAGAGAGGAACAAAAAAAAAAAGGACTGAATTTTCTACAGACTTAACAGATAGGCAATCTCAATTGCCCTCAAGAACAGCTTGAACAACAGCCCTCAAAGCAAATCACCAAGCAAAACTTAGAAATTTAACTTGAACCAAGAAAGTCGAAACATTGGGAAATTCACAAAGGCTTCAGCAGCAACACAATGCAGATAAATAAATCTCTTCCTGATGTGCTACAACTTAGAGAAGCCTCAAATACTAATAAATTTAGCTACATATACTAATAAAAGCCTCAAAATCGGGACAAATACCAAGAATCCCCGAACCCCTCTTAATTAACCGGGTTGCTAAAACTGAGCTCAGTAACAATCCCAAATCTTGAGCTGAGCTCCCGCGGTCCAAGAACCGGACTGGAACGAACCTACATCAATGGCGAGACGGAAACCTTATCAAGGCACAAGAATTTCTTGTCCTTTTTACCTGGCTCATCGGCGAGGAGGAAGGAGACGCAGCATTCCCCAGGTTCTCTCTCTCTCTCTCTCTCTCTCTCTCTCTCTCTCTCTCTCTCCTTGTTCTTCTTCTTCTTCTTGGTTTGAACCTGAACAAACGGAGTAGAAGAAAACTGGAGCCCGGTGTGTCGGCTGAGAGAGAGAGAGAAGCAGAGGAGGGAGAGGTCTCGGGAGGAAGCTGAGAAATCGCAGGGAGAAGCAAGAGAAGAGGATTGTGACGTCTCCGGAGTTTGTTTGGAGTACTAAAAGCGATTGCCCAAGAAAGCGAAAGTGTAGGAGGAGTAGGTGAGAGGCGAGGGTGTGAGACCTCCCACGAGAAGAGAGGTGAGGTGAGGTCAGTGGAGAGCAGAAATGACCTGGAGCCTGGGGATTTCGTTGGATTCTGGCACTTCTTTTCTTCTCCATGGACAACCAAATGGCAAAGGATTTGGTGGCCACTTCCAGCTTGGAACAAACTGTGTTAGTGTCATTCCAAAGAAAACAAAAAAAAGAAAAGAAAAGGAATGCGTTACAGTTCATGTGATCACCTCTTCTGTTATGGATTGAATAACTCTGTCGCTTGATAATATTGTGCCTGAAACATCTCCCGAAATTGGTGGATATGTGGTGGTAATAACTATTACTCCTAGGCTTCCCAATTTGCACTAATGGTTCCGTCTTTTTTGTCTGTTAATTTATGGATTGGATTATGTACCACTACATAGTTGTACTATCTGTAGTAAGAGCACCCGCAATAGTAAAGTTTATCTGTAGTAAGAGCACCCGCAATAGTAAAGTAAGATGCTCTCTATAAAACATGTATATCTCAGTATTAGACTAGATTAATAGTAAACCACCTTAATAGTATGTCTACATGGGTATCTATAGCTCTCTAATCCATTGCATCGTTTTTCTCTATAGACTATCTCCATGTTAATAGATAGCTTTGTTCTCTCTCTTCATTTAATCTATTCCAAATAAAAAAATATGCTAACATGGATTTCTTATAGAGAGCCTATAAATAACTATTACGGGTGCCCTAATGCACTACTTCCTCCGTTCTAATTAATTTACTTGTCGTTCGGTCAATCTCACACTAATCTAGGAGGTGTGGCGAGTTACATCGTTATCCTCATTAATTACATCCTAATGAGCTTTCCCCAAGCAAACATTATAATTCTTTGTGGAAGTGGTAGCAGTAGTATGGCTGCATTGATGAAAAGGTAGAAAGACATCTCTAAAACTGTTTTGGAATATGATAACGACAAAATATTTTGATAAAAAATTTAAATGCTGGGACGACAAATAAATTGAAACGGTCGGAGTAGTTTATTCTCTTTGCGAAAACAGTACTCCATATAGGAGTAGTATGCAGGAAACAGCCACCGGCCTTCTTTAGTTCGTGAAAAGAAAATGTTTGGGTGTCACATCGAACGTTTGGCCGGATGTCGGAAGAGGTTTTCGAACACGAATGAAAAAACTAATTTCATAACTCGCCTAGAAACCGCAAGACGAATTTATTAAGACTAATTAATCTATTGTTAGCACATGTAGGTTACTGTAACACTTATAACTAATTATGGACTAATTAGGCTCAAAGGATTCGTCTCGCGATTTTCATATAAATTGTGCAATTAGTTTTTCATTTTATTTATATTTAATGCTTCATGTATATATTCAAAGATTCGATGCGATGTTTTTACTGGTATATCATCAAACCCCTCCTGCCTTGTGTGTGAAACACCAACCAAAGCAATGCACACGGGAAGCATGAGCTCTGGAGTCTGGATATACTATATAATAACAATAGGACATGAAATTTGTTATACAATTCATCATAGGTCCATTTTTAACAGGAGAGCTCAACACACATATACAAGTTCTTTCCCCCCCTCAATGCATGAGTGCCATAATATAATATAGCAGAAAATGTGTAGAATTTATTTTATTTTCATACATGGCAATGCCACTTGACATTACTGCCATATATTTCTGGAGATATGGACGGCAGTTGCAACTTGCAAGGACCAGAAAACCACAACAGGAGGGTTGCATTAAAACAAGTTGGCTGTGTTTAGTTCGGCGCAAAGTTTGGATTTTGGTTGAAATTAAAGATGAAGTGACTAAAAAATTATGTGTGTATGACAGATTGATGTGATGGAAAAGTACTGAAGTTTGGATCCAAACTTTAGATCTAAAAACACAGCCGTTGTTCAGTTTCAAGCAACAAAGAGACAAGTGCCCGTAGATTCAGGTTCGTCCATTAAAAGCCGCTCGTACTATTCTTCCCTCTGAAGTCTCTCGTGTTCATTGATTTTTGCTTCTAATAACAAAACGAGCGCAACAAATGTACAAGCAACAGCAAACTTATGTTGTAATCTGGTGTCTCAGATATCTGTACCCTTTTGATTACGGTACTAGAACAACATTGAGTTGTAGTTTTGGAGAGTTGGACCCTTATACAATTCAAGTTCAGCATGGCTTCCCTTTAAGCCAAGCCAAATTCGTACATGTTGCAAAAGGTACATCGTCGGGGTCGGGGATGTAATACTCTTCCATCATCTGAATTTACGAAGCGCGCGTTCGAATCTGAACTAGTTTTCTGTAAAATCCGTGTGAAATTCAGATATGGACTCCACGGCTTGACATTTGCCACCATCCACACCACTGCTTGACATCACTTTCCAAGTAATTCCATTTATTTTCTACAAAAAGTAAAGGACGATGCTTTCACACTTTTTTTTTCGTCACGAACGGATCCCATAGCTTTTTTGTATTTTCTTATGCAAAAAAACATCACTGTTGGGACGGTGAGCGTTCCATTTGGCAACGTCTACTAAATGCCGTACGTGTTTTCTATGAAAGCATAATTGCGTTAAAAAATAAAAGGTGAAAGATTTTATTTTTGTAGTTGGACTTCACACTTCATCAAACAATAGTACACTAGCATAAAGATATTCCCATATAATTTACTTTATCAATTGGATGACCGTCTAGACTACTATACTATATATTAAAAATCTTATATATATATATATATATATATAACAGTAAATGCACCTGTTTTTTAAGTGATCCCTTTTGCCAGCCATGATGATTTGGCAAACAAAGAAAATCTCTCTAAAAAAATATGAACTTGGATTGCCTGCCATGGTGATTTAGTAAACAAATAAAATCTCTCAAAAAGAAATGAACTTGGAGACTACGAATGCCCCAAGATTTACACAACCGTGCGGTTATCGTGGTTATCACGTGCGATAACCTTTTTTAATTTTTGAAAGCATGATACACCTCAGGATAACCACGCGGTTACCGCAGTAACAGCTAAAAAAGGGTTTGGTAAACCGCCGAAAAACAGTTTGGTAAACCCCAGAATGCCTTGACATGGTGATGCTTGTTATTTCCTCAGTTCCAAAATATAAGAGTATGATCGATGTATACCATCTAATTTTAGGTTATTATATTTTCGGATGAAGTTAGTGTTTAATATGAACATCGAAAGAAAAGTTAAAACAGTTAAATATGTCCCTTAAGGAATTATACGCGATAGATTTGCACCAGCCATGACGATGGATTAACAAAATGATCCAAGAGTAGAATAATTAGCGTAATCTTTGGAGTGGTTGAGGCCGCTGTCTTATCATCTGACAGCGCTTTAGTATATAATGATGGTGAGACTCCGTACGTGATGACACCGGCACTAGGATACTTTTGTACGGCACATTGGAGTGTAGGCTACATAAACGTGAGGTCAACTTTCAGCTTCAGATCAAAGGACATTTTCTTATCAAGATCTCTTATTTCTTCATCACCAACCGAAAAAACAAAACATTAACGATACGTGTCTGTAGTCTACAAACAGTTATATTACTCAAAAGCTTTAAAGCTTAAAGTTTGGGGTTTTGATTTTATACCAGTTTTTTTAGGGAAAGATTTTATATCAGTTTTAGGTGATATCTTCATTGACTCTGTTGCCAGGCTCTCCTTTCATAATTGCTAAGAAGATAAGTAAAATAAATGTACCAAATTATTCTTAAAACCCAAAAGTTAAAATACAAAATCACGTCCCAGAGCTGAAACAGACAGATAAAATTTAACTGAGCATTTAAACAATCAGCTAGGAGAACCCTCAGCGAGAATCATATATAAATCACCTGGAAAACAAGAGTAATTGTACCAGTGTTTACCTGGTGCATCCCATAGGAATTGTGATAACCAATCTGCGAGTAATCATGATTATAACAAATCAGTCATTACATTGATCCCACAGAATCCACAATTGATCCTTTCTCAACATGCTGCTCAGGTACAAGCAGGGGTGCGTTTAGGAGAATATCCAGAACGCACAGGCTTCGGTAGGTAGAAAAGACCAAATCAGTTGGATGGTCAAATCAAGGATTAATGCAATGCCGTTGCCCGGCATCTATAACAGGAGAGAAGCTGAGCAGCAATCCAAAGAGACAAGCTTAGGAGAGTACATATATAACCCACGGGGTTGAAAAGAGGAGTCTGCATCATGAGGACGACATGAAATCTTCGGGCCTTGCAATGGAAACTTCCTCAAACACATTGTCATCTGATGAAAGAACAAACAGCAATCAGGGGTCTAAAGAGAGTGGGAAATCGCAACATCTATTGAGAGAAGCAGTTAAGACATGGTTATGGTAATTTTGGATACAGACAATAAGGCTCAAAGATTTGATTTTGCAGATTTGTCAAGCTGCACTTTGCAAGAAAGAATTGGCGAAGACTTATGTAAGCATGAATTGAAAACCAGCAAAATGGATTCCCCAGGCACAGCAAGATTAATGGAATACGAGTACAGCAAAGTTATCTCCCGTAAACATGAAGTCACCAACACAAAGAAATCTTAGAAAATTTGTGTTTTTTCCACAATAAGATGGCGATAGTTGTTTATGCAGTATGTACGTAAATCAGCCATCGACAGTTTGTGTCCAGGAAGACCAGACAGCAAACCAAAATTCATAAACAAAACAATGAGGAATATATGGTCAAATAAGTGTACATTATTATCATAAAAAAAGGTAAGGCAGTTATGCAGTCAGAGTAGAACAAAACCTTTTCTCAGTGTTAATGCAACAACAGCATCATTTTCAACCTGCAGGCAGATATAGAAAAAATCACCATGTTGTTCCGCATAAAAGAAATGTTCAGAAAATAATACCATTAGTGCAATACCTTCTGATCTGCTAATGTCTTTGAGTCATCCAAAACAACTTCAGTTGTGGCCAACAAGATCAGCTGTTGATTACCGGGAGGCTGATCAACTAATGAATGCAACTTTTGTTTAATGCTTAAAGTCGTCTCTGTTGGGTCACATTGTATGAAGTAGGTAGTCTTGTTCCGTTTCACTCGAATATACATTGCCTGCATAAGGCGTTTCCTCATTGTCAGTAAACAAACTTTCAAATAACTAGTTCAGCTGGCATCACTCCACCTCTATTACTCCAAGAACAGAAGTAGGTTCGGGGTTCCAGTTGTTTTGTTTGGCAACAAGATGGGAGCCTTAACGTAATATTAATACATTCAAACTATCCTACATAAATCTTTCTTTCCATAGGATAGACGCTCCCAAGAAATTGGGCAGAACAAATGTTAGTAGTTAACATTAGTACAATAACTAGTTGTACGTTGTTGGCAATAATACAACAGGAAAGAATAATAGATAGCATAACAGAGTAGGAGGTACATTCTGGTATTCCATTAAAAAAAAGTACACACCAGTATACAATAAACGGAATTCACAAACCACCAGCAGGCATATTCATGAAATATGTTAGTACAGTAGCATAGGACCTGAGATTATCCCATTACCCCTATACATGGCCGTTTTCTTGAAAAAAGAGTTAGTACAGAGACAGACTGCATACGCCATTTACGGAAATTGTAGAAACAGAAAATGTTGAAGTTAAGTAATTTCAGCTTTTCAAGCCAACATTCTGTGAAGCAACAACATGTTTGGTACTGGCGTATTGTGGCCCGAGAACTGCATCTAGGAGTTGGAGAATAGAATCTAGTGTTTGCTGTATGACAACATTGATTTGAACTATACATCGTTCTTAATTCTCCTACTTGTCTTTGTCATGAAAGAGGATTCACAGAAAAAATTCTCAACATGAGATGTTGGCTAAATCTTTGCTAGGAGCATTCTATTACCAAATAGCGAAAAACAAAGAGGTTGATATGATCCATCTAGACATATTACCTCGATGGGTTAATTGTTTTGCAGTCCCAATAAAATGCAAAAAGGAATTCACGTATCTGTACACGAGCGTGCGACAGGATCAAACACCCAGCTAGCACTAACGCGAGATGCAAGCACGCTATGGCTAAAACGGAGACATCCCCCTCGGCTGGCTAAATGCAGAAATCTAACCAGCACGGGACACGATCAGCTGCTCCGATTTTCAGATGATCTCAACCCCTAACAGGCTACACCAAACCCTCTATCCCCACAGCAGAAAGCAAACCCCTAACAAGCTACACCAAATCCTCTATCCCCACAGCAGGCACCAAACCCTCTATCCCTACAGCAGAGCAAGCAGAAACCCACCTAGGGTTCCTCTAATCAAACAGAATAATCGCCACGCGAATCTTCCAAAAACAACCAAAATCCGCATCCCCGCTCGCCACATCAATCCCAATCGGTCCCGAGCGAAGCAAACCTCTCCCGGCACCGGCACCGGCACCGCGCAGGCATTCCACTGCCAGTCTTCTTCCCCCCTCAAATCAAACGTGGATTACACTAACCATCGCGCGCAAGCGCAAGCAAGAACCCCTCTGTGGGTAAGGGAGGGATGCCCACAGGGCAAGCGACGATACGATGCGATGCGGCGGAAACTGCAGTAGGATGGATGCTCGCAGGATGGGGGTTCAGCACAAGCGGCGGGCGAGGAGACGAAATTCGAGGCCGGATGGGGGTGGATTGGGATGCTCACCGGTGAGCGATGGTGCGGCGGGGACAGGAGGAGGACGCCGGCGCCACCTCTGCTAGCAGGATGGAGATCGGCGCCGGCGGCGGGCGAGGAGACGGGAGTCGTCGAGGGCGGTGGGCGAGGAGACGCGATGGATTGGGGAGCCGGAGGTCGATCGTGGTGCGGTGCGGGGCCGTGCAACGCTCTGCTGCCGAGGCCTATGGGCCATACGCACAGGCCCATGAGGCTGGAAATTTTTCATACCGGAAAAAAGTTCACCTTTGTCGAGTTTAAAACTGCCCCGAACCGAAAGACTAGATATAATAGATCTCTGATCTTGTAAAATCATGTCACATTTGATTCTAAGGTATGCTCTTCGGTTTTGTTGACGTGATGGCTGAGTCAGTGTGACACCACACATGTCACCTACTTTCCTCTCTTCCCATCTCAACCCAAAGCTTTTAGGGCAGCCACCAATGGGTAGGGAGAATGGTGCTGGCCCACGGGAAAAGCTCGACGACGGAGGCCGCGGGCCGACATGGCTTCCAACGGCCGGGAGTGCACGCGCGGTGCAACTAGGTCTCTACTGCAACGGCAATGCCGTCTTCACCTACGCGGGCGAGGGCTAGGGCTTCTGCCTCGTCACGCTGGCCAAGCTCCTATCCTCCAATCTCAAAGCCGCGCCCGCCAAGCTACTCAAAAGCCGATGTGTTCAGGTGTCCCCGACCCCTAGCTCTGCCTCTCCTCCACGGAGGAGCACGCGTGGCTCCGCCGCATCGTGTTCGAGGCCAACTCTATCTACTCCACGTTGCGGTCACATCGTCCTCAATGCCTACGCCCTTCTTCCCGCGCTTGCCACTATCAAACTTCTCGACAGCTGCAAGCCTTCTCCCCACCCATCTCCGGTCATCGCCGTCGGGCTTCTACCTACCGCCGCCGCCCAACGGCCGCCACACTCCTCCTTGTCGGTCACCGGCCACCGCACACCTTTCCCGTGATTCAACGTCCGACGTCCTCTTTGTGTGCATGCACGGACACTCATGGAGCCGGTGGTGCTCGCAACCGTGCTCAGGCATCATAATGTACTCCATCTCCTGTCTCTTGGAGATCCTCTCGCCAATCCCGATGGTGTGGCTGACACGTGACCATGACGCGGACGCGCGCGAGCTGCCGCGCACCGACGTGGCGGTGTGCCATTAGGGGACGATGTGCCGAGAGCCCTTCCTACTTCGCTTCTCCGCGCTCTTCACGCGCGCAGGTCCATGACGCGGCCGTTAGCCACCACTCTTCTCCCCACATGTTTCCGACTGCCCTGGAGGTTTGTGTTGAGATGGGAAGAGACAAGAGATAGGTGGAAGAATATTACCGGCTGACATGTGGGGCCCAACAAAAAAAACCATCCACCAACAAAAAGAAAGAGGGGTGATACCTTTGTCGGCGGCGATGGCCATGGCGTCACTAGGAGATAGACGTAGGCAGCAGTGGCGAGATGCCAATGAGGAGGAGGCAACATGCGTGGGTGTGGGAAGTGGGACGGCAGGTGCTGGGGAGGCGCAAGTATGGAACAGCGTGGCGGTATGATGAGGCGAGTTTGGCATAGGGATGGGGCAGGTGTGGCGTCGTGGGCAGCGGAGAGAATCGATGACGGCCGCGATGGGGGAGGGAAGGGAAGGAGCTGGTGTGGGAGGACGACAAGGGTAGTGGCGAGGACGGTAGGGGGGATCGATGGCGGCGGCAGTGGGAGAGGGAAGGGAAGGAGCTGGTGGTAGAGGACGGCAAGGGCAGTGTCGAGGGCAGCGGGGAGGATTGATGAAGCGGTGGAGGAGGACGACGGCAACACCAGCGGTTTGGAAGGGGAAGGGGCAGTGAGGGGAATTGGCGGCGACGTGGCATTCATCGGGGCTGCGGTGGCGCTGCGGAGCTTCGCTGGAGGGAGAAGCAATGCAACAGTGTTGGAGGTGGTTGCGGCCTTGCGGGGGAGAGAGCGGAGCGGAGATGCGGAGGGAGCGACCGAGAGAGAGGGAGGACGCGTGCGTTGCGTGGATCAGGCCTAAGGCGGCGTGCAGAGGAAGAGACGCAATATGATCCATTAGATCTCGCAATCGTACAATTAGTATTGCGTGTGTCTGTCAGGGTTGGAGTCACCGTCACCGCTACGCTTTTTTTATTATTATATTATAGATACGCAGGAGGTCGTTTCATGTGTGTAACCACCATAAAATCCAGTAATTTACCCTTAGGGCCTATTTGTTTTGGAGGAATTTCAACACATAGGAATAGAAAAGGTGGAGAAATAGAAAAGCATGCACACTTCAATCCATAGGAATTTTTCTATGAGGTTTGTGTGGATGAAAAATTTCCTTTGTTTTCTCTCTGCAACTTGTAGGAAAGGAAAAATTCCTTTGGTTTTTCCTATATCTATATCCTTATGAACCAAATGATATTTATAGGAATTAATCCTTAGGAATCCAAATCCCTTGAAATTCCTCCAAAATGAATAGGCCCTTAAACCACCCACCCATCTAATTCTTAATTATATAAGTTTGACCTGTTACACAGTAGGGGCATATAACTAGTTCATGAGAATGTCACTTGTTTTAGCCTCCAGCCAAGAGAGAGGAGGTCAGGCAATGGATGGAAGAACTCAATTCGGCTCGTGAAGTCCATTCAAAAAAAAAAGTTCAGCTCGTGAAAGCTCACATGTAAAGAGGCTTGGCTCGGTTCGGCCTGGTTGGAGTATAACTGAGCTAAAATAGTACTCCTAGAGTCCTAGTTGGGCTCGGTTCGACATAGCTATTGCGGCAGTACTAATTATCCCTCTAAACTTAAAAACCAGATATTTTACACCCTAGACTTCTCAAACCGGACAAATTACCCTCATAACTAATCCAATCAGAAGTGGTTTTGATCCTATTTGGTGTACCCATGGCGCCAACGTATCCAATCTGAGAAAAAATAGAAGAAAAACATGGGACCCACTTGTCATATACACCGTATCTTTGCCTCTCTTTTATCTCTCTGCCGATGCTGGTTGGTATTGCGGGGACAGCGAGCGGTGAGGAGGGCGTTGCAGGGTAGTGAGTAGCGGTGAGGAAGGCGCTGCAATGCAATGGGCGACGGGCAACGGCGAGGAGGGCACGGAGGGGAGGCAGTGGCGAGGAAGGGTCTGCAGTGCTGTGGGCTATGGGCGCGGTGGGGAGGACTAGAAGCAGTGGGCGGCAGCGAAGAGGGCACGGTAGGTGAAAGCGCCGCGAGCAACGAGTGTCGACAAGGGGGGCACGGCGAGCTTCGGCGAGGAGGTGGATCTGGTGACGCCCACGCTTCTGCTCCCATTTCCTCTCTCGTCGGGTGGAGGAGAAGGAAGAGGAGGGAAGACGGGATCCCCTACATGAGCTCACCTCTCTCCCGACCTCCACAGATCTTCTTCGCCGGCCATCACTGTTGTCGCCGCCGCCTTCCTCCACGAGCCATAGAGGGCGCTCGTTGTCTTGTCGCCTCCTCCATGGTCCGGCGGCTCTGACCTATTGGGGATGAAGAGAATGGGGAAGAAAGGAGAAGAGGGTGACATGTGGGGCCATCCATTATTTTATTAAATATTGTTGACTTAATTTTTTATTTAATTTTTTGCCATGTTGGAATAACACGTCAGCTTGTCCAGTTCATAACCGCCTTAAACAATGCTCGGGAGTTGGGGGTGTTAATTGTCCGGTATGAGGAATCAAGGGTGTTGAATGTCTGGTATTTAAGTTTAAAGAGGTAATTCATACTACCATAATAATTTACGGGGAAGTTCAGATTTTTTTTTAGTATCGTATAGTTGAACTAGGACTGATAGGGGGCCAGTGTGGATATTTCTGTAGGGGTGTAAAGAGCCAACTCTAATTTGTATCTCTCAGTCCTCCAAGTCTCCAACCGAAATGAGTGTATGACTACATATGATGCTCTGTATACCATATCTATAAATATACTTCCTAGTTATATACATGTTCGGAGGTGCAGATGTACACGTAGGCTTACCTAATTAAGTGAAGTAATAGTATTAGCTAGCAGTGTCCTTAATTAATTTCTCTGCTTAATTCCATAGCTTGACTGTTGTGTCAGCAAAACCAGTGACACCGCGCTGCCTAGCTAAGAGGAGCAGGTTGACTTAATTAGGGCTGAGAAAGAGCATGCATGCATGGTGGATGGAGATAGGATATATACATGCGTGTCATGTATATCTGAAGCTAAGCTGTTCTGTCGCATACGAGTGGTCGTCGTCAATCGTCATCGTCCACTCCCCCAACTGCTCCAGCATGCAGGCATGTATACTACATACTACAATAATCCAACTGCATAATGCCGTGTTTTGTGCGTCGATCGTCGCATCGACAATGTCGCGACCGTAGCACAAACAAAAGATAGGCTCTATGCCAAAAGCATGTCCCACTCGTAGAAACCATTTTCCTAAACAACTGAAACACGTTTTCCTAGGTGAGTATGTAGAAACATGAAATTTTTCAGGCGGACCATACATCCACACGATAAATTATGCCGTTCGACTGCAAGATAATTTTCGGCAAAAAAAAGTTCCAAAAAGAGACACCCTAGCTCTGTGCGACGCCGTCGCCACTGCCCTTCCCTGACCTCCTCACCACCGGATCTGCTACTCTTGAGGCCGCCACCGTTGCAGCCACGTGGGAGGAGGAGAGGTCGTCTGATCTGCCTCTCCCCTATCGCCACCACTGACAGATCCGTGCGCGAGGGAGGGGGAGATGCTGCTGGATCCATCCCCACCTCCATCGCTACCACATGCGGATCCATATCCCTTGAGGAAGGGGGAGAGGCCTCTGGTGCCGGATCCGCCACCTTCTAGGCCACCGTTCATCCTCATCATGGACACCTCTCCCCCGTCGTTGTTGTCATCGTCGTGGCCTCTCCATAACTGTCGGATCTACGAGGGAAAGGTAGAGACTATGGAGGCCGACCGCTCCTAAGACCAGCGTGCCAACTCTGTCTGTCGTGGGGCCGGTGACAGCGGATCCACCCATCGTGGCGTTGGCTCCTGTCATGTTAAATTAATTTTAAACTGATCTTACACTATTGTAAAGCAAATGCCATATTTTTTTTTATTGTAGTATCTCCTTAGTGCTTACCGTTGAGTGTTAAGGTTGTCACGGATTAACACTAATAATATATTTTTCTGGAAAATACCATTACCTACTTAAATAGAGTAAAAATCACCCAATGCGTTAATATTAGTGATGCAACTTAACACAAAGTTTAACTTTTGTAGCAGTCTCAATGGTAGAGAGACTGTTGATTTGGTAAGAATCGGCTTCAATGCAAAATGGCTAGCAAGTACCCCTGAAGTTGATAAACAAATTGGTAGGTTAAAATTTGCATAAAAACCAAATTGCCTCATTGTTATTCTTTTATATGAAGAATATGCATGTGGCCAACTACGCATCGTCAAAATACATCATCGGTCCTTAATTAAGATTACATATGGTGATATGATTTAGATTCGTGAACCTGTAAAATTCATATTTTTGGTGTATTATTTTATTTATCACGACAGCTCTAAACCTCGGTTGATCGGATATGACCGCGACGTGGCGCTCCATAGCACTTTGTGTTCGGCCTCCTCCGTATCATAACGTGGCAAAGAAATTGCGTTTAGCTCCTTCCTGCTACAGCGCAGCAGTTTTCTTCTCCTTTTCTCTCCCTTTTCCTTTCTTCTCTCTCTCTCTCTTTTTTTTTTCCTTTGTAGTGGCGCCCTAATGTAGTGGTTCAAATTTTCTCTAGTAAATGGAAAAGGTGGAATATTTGGAGCCTAGAACACACATTCAAACACTCATTATGAACTAATGCAGTGATTGTCGCCATGAACTACTCTTTGAGATCGCCATGATTATCACCGAACACTTATCAAAGCCAAAGTAAATAAATCTGTTCTAAGCAAATCAATAGAATAAGAAGAGGAGAACTTTTGAAAAATGGAAGGAGAGGTCTAGAAATATATTAGTATGCATTGAAATATGTAAATTTGGGGGCCGTGTGGTCGCTTACTTCGCACTTATCCACGGACGGGCCTAAAGAGAAGCTAAAAATGTTAAGAGAGGGGGTGAAACGGATGGTACGGTAAAGCGTTTCGGGCCCTCACGTCGCCCTCGCGCGGCGGCTTGGGGGCGAAACCCTAGCCGCCGCCGCCCCTCCTCCTCCCTCCTCCCTGCTTTGCTGTTGCCGTAGCTCGTCGCCGGCAAAGCTGGGCGACGCGCTGGGATGGCGGCGGCGGGGCCATCTCTCTCGGTTCCATCTCGCCCCGACGCGGGTGTGGCGACGATGGCGGCGGGACGGCGAGGTCGCGGCGACGGCACGGCGGTGGGGCTCTCCGCGGCTCCGGCTCCGGCGTCGCCAAATTCGGTTGCCCCGCTTCCAGATCTGGCCAAGGTGACCAGCGACGGACTCTGTCGACGCCGGTGTCGGGCTCTAGATCTGGTTCTCCCCTTCTTCTATGGTTGTTCTTCCGGTGCTCACTGGCGGTGTGGCGCCCGCTCCCCTCTTCTTAGGTGCTCCTCCCTTCTTAGGCTAGGCTGCTTCCAGTCGATGCCGGGGAGCTCCTTGGTTCGGTAGGGGTGGCGTGCGGAGTTGCTGGCGTCCTGTCTCGCTAGTCGTCGGCCGCGCCATAGGTTTGCTGCAGCTGGGTTCCTGTGTGTGAGGTGGTCTCTGGTCGAGCTGCGATGTGATTGACTGTTGACGTGGAGTCTGAGTTGCTTGTATTGCAAGCTCGGCAACGATGACCCTCAACAGATGTCCCGACAATGCGACGAGGATTGGGAGGTTGAGCATTTTGAGAGAGCCTCGGGTGAAAACCTTGCCTAGTGCTTTCCTAGGTTGATTATATCGACGCCTGTGGGCGCCGTTTCCTCCTTGGAGGTATCGTCATGCTGACTCTCTCTTCTTTCAGGTGAAAACCGGGTTCCTTTCAGAATGAGCGTTGACAGCATCCTTGATGTTGTTCCCTTGATGAAGGCTTCGCTCAGAAGGTTTCTGCTCCACTAGAGGATGTTTGGTGGTTCTGGAGACCTCGTTTATATTGTTGAAGCAGCTTGCCTTTGGTAAGCTCGGCAACGACGACTTCTGTGAGGTCTCAATAGTTGGTTTTCTTTTCCTTTTCTCTATAGGTTTTTGCTAATTTCCCGTTTAATTAACCGTGCTTGTTCGGTTTTCGGGCCCGGTTTCCCTTATTAACTGGGTCAATTATCTTCTTCTATAAATTCCGGCAGGAGAAACTCCTGCCGTCGGTTCCTCAAAAAAAAATGTTAAGAGATGGCACATGAATATTTAATTACAGTATTAGTTGATTTCTGAATTATACAACTGAGTTCTCAATCTTGAGAAAGAACATAGATTATTTAAGATAGCCGAAGGAATAATAATAATAATAATAATAATAATAATAATAATAATAATAATAATAATAACAACAATATTTTATTATTATTATTATTATTATTATTATTATTATTATTATTATTATTATTATTATTATTATTATTATTATTATTATTATTATTATTATTATTATTATTATTATTATTATTATTAGCACATCACGTGTAGCACGCCTCTGTTCCTCCCTTATCATCCAATACCTTATAAATAATGCATGCTCATATACATAGTCACATTCCATTATTCCATTGCTGATCAATCAGGTGTACACATCCTCAGTCAGATCTAGTGTAAGCTAAGCCAGTGTGGCGTGGAGCCGTGGAGACGACCATCTGACGCAAGAGACAACAAGTCCACCAAAGGCCCCCGCTCGATCGAAAAGGCGAGGCCGGTGCTTTGCCATACATACATACATAAGCCCCTCCAAAGAGAGGGAGTGGTTGGCTCGGATCGGAGCAGTTGGCTGCAGCCGCAGTTTGTTGGAGCGGTTGGCCCTCGCACTCGCACTACCCCCCGCCCTTTTTCTCCCGCCATATTTCTACTTCTCCCGGCCCACCCCCCCTCAGCTCGCCCTCCTCCCGCCCCCCACCTGCTCGATCTCCACTCCGTCTCCATCTCCATCCGATCCAAGATGCCGCCGAGGCAGTGGAGGCCGATGCTGGCGTCGGCGACCAAGTGCTGCGCGGCGGAGGACGCGGTGGTGGCGGTGGATGGCAGCGGCGGCGGGGGCGGCCTCGCGCGGTGCAGGCCGGCGCGGTCCGAGTTCTCACGGAGGCTGGCGTCGTTCCGGAAGCTGTCGTCGATGACCAACAGCCCGGCGTCGTCCGTCGCGGGGGCGGCGGAGGGGGGGAAAGACGACGGCGAGGAGGGGGGCGGCGGCGGTGGCGGCGTGTCCGGCCCGCTGCAGCTCTACTCCTTCAGCTTCTCCGAGCTCCGGTCCATCACGCACGACTTCTCCAGCAGCTACCTGCTCGGGGAGGGCGGCTTCGGCGCCGTCCACAAGGGCTTCGTCGACGCCGGCATGCGCCCCGGCCTCCTGCCCCAGCCCGTCGCCGTCAAGCAGCTCGACATCGCCGGCCTCCAGGGCCACCGGGAGTGGCTGGTATGTCCATGCTTACTGCTTTCTTTCCTCCTGCCAATTGGTACTGCTTTTCTCTGGTAGTAGTTAAGCTCAAGTCGATGTCGTCCATGGCGGACATGGCGTGCACGGTGCAGGCGGAGGTGATCTTCTTGGGGCAGTTCCGGCACCCGCACCTGGTGAAGCTGCTGGGCTACTGCTGCGAGGACGAGGAGCGCCTCCTCGTCTACGAGTTCATGCCGCGCGGCAGCCTCGAGAACCACCTCTTCAAGAGTACGCACTTAGCTATAGCTAGCTCCGGCCACATCTCCGTTTCCGCGCCGCCGCCGCCGCCGCCGCCGGCACAAACTGACCGATTCGATCCATGTCCATATTGTGCAGGGATATCGGCGACGGTGCCGTGGGGCACGCGTCTGAAGATCGCCATCGGCGCCGCCAAGGGCCTCGCCTTCCTCCACGGCGCCTCCACCCCCGTCATCTACCGCGACTTCAAGGCCTCCAACATCCTCCTCGACTCGGTACACTACACACCACCTAGCTCCTTCTTCTCCAATTCGATCGATCGCCCGAACTAACTTGAGCTTGCAGGAGTTCACGGCGAAGCTGTCGGACTTCGGGCTGGCGAAGATGGGGCCGGAGGGTTCGGAGACTCACGTGACGACGCGGGTGATGGGCACGCACGGGTACGCGGCGCCGGAGTACGTGATGACGGGGCACCTCAACATCAAGAGCGACGTGTACAGCTACGGCGTCGTGCTCCTGGAGCTCCTGACGGGGCGGCGCGCCATGGAGCATGTCAGGGGGAGGAGCCTCCACGCCGACCAGGTGGTCAAGATCGTCGACTGGACCCGCCCCTACCTCGGCAGCAGCCGCCGCCTCCGCTGCATCATGGACCCGCGCCTCGCCGGCCACTACTCCGTCAAGGCCGCCCGCGCCGTCGCCCACCTCGCCGTCCAGTGCACCAGCCCGCAGCCGCGCGACCGCCCGCGCATGGCCGCCGTCGTCGACGCCCTCGAGCGCCTGCAGGGCTTCAAGGACATGGCCGTCACCGTCGGCCTCTGGCCCACCAACGCCCCCGTCGCCGGCAGGAACGCCATCTCCGCCAAGATCCGCGCCGAGGTCAGAGGCGCCGGCTCCGGCGGCGGCGCGGCCTCGCGGCGGCGGAGCGCCTCCGCCAAGCTGCCCTGATCGCCCGCGTGCGTTCGTGGGCGCGCCACGTCATCGCGAGTACGTATTTGTATACGTGTACGTGTGTGTATATACTTTAGCTGCTGTATAAGATGGCACGGCCGATGTATTGTACGTGGTGATCATCGAGCTTGATTGATTTTTTTTTAGCCATATGGATTATGGATTATTGCGGAATTAATACTGATCTGTATCACCATATGTACGTACTTAGTAGGAGTATTTAGTTTTAGGTGCCATGATGCTGGTAGATCATGCATGCATGTATGATGAATTGTACTTTCATCCACCGATTGCTGATTGCAAGTTCGTGCATCAGTAATCGGTCATTTCGATATTATCTTTTTTTTTCCTTGAAGACTCACGGTGTGTTTGAATCAGCTTCAAGTCTATAGCACATTTTCGTTTTTTATGAGCATGTTTTTAAATAGTTTTTGTTTTTTAAAATATATATATTAGTTACTCTAAGAATCAAATAAATCTATTTTAAATCTACAATAATTAATACTTAATTAACAACATGCCATTGACTTATCTCATTTCATATGCCGTTAATTAGTTCAGCTCACTATCCTCGCCCATAAATTTTGCGGATTCACTGTACCATTTTCACAGAAACGAGTTTATTAACTTTTCTGAAAAATAAATAAAAAAAATCAGGGCATGTAGGATGTGGATAGATTTTCGAGATCGCGATGAAATTTCTTTGTGCTAGCTTGTAGACAAAAATACAGGCATCAGTACTATCAAGCTATCAGCTCAAGGTGAGGCCTTCGATTTTCTTCCTCAGGCAGGAGGAATAGTAGCGCTAGTTCCCAGCAGAGTGTTCAGACCCTGAAAGAGGCATCAAACCAATCGTCTTTTGAGAGAGAGAGAGACCAATCCTTGATTTGATTGGGTAGCTAGCTGCTTTGACGACGGCGCCGGGGAGCTTCGAGGCAGCGGAGACCGCGGGCGGCGAGAGGTAGAGGTCGCTATACGGGACATATTATTATTCCGGTGACACTCGCGACGGCGACCTCGCCGGGAAGCCGACGACTGAATCCATTGTCGGAGTTTGCCTTGTACTATACGTACGTACGTGGAACGTAACCCCACGCCATGTACGCCGCCGTTGATCGATCGGCGGATCGGTCCAGCGGCGGACGGGGTCAAGACGACCGAGATCTCATCCGATTTTTCGCCGGGTTGGCTTGGCTCCCTGCGGCGGGGGCACCTTCGCCGAGATAGCTAATTAGCGATCGATCGCCTGGGACGATCAATTTTTTTCACCACTTTCTTTTTTTTTTCACCGTATAGTTTTTATTTTCGGGTAAGTTTATATAGCTAAATTTTACACACCTAAAAATTATAGGTCAAAAGTTTATATACCCTATTCAAATTCGAATTAAATATTTTATATGTAGAATATTTCTATACATAAAGTTTATGCGTGTATTATTTTCCTCTTTTAGTATGTTTATACACCTAAAGTTTACACATCTAAAATTTATCCACCTAAAGTTTGTAGAGCGAATGTTTAGAGATCAAAAGTTTATATATCCGATTCAAATTCAAATTCGGATTCAAATATTTTATATATAGAATATTTCTATAGGAAAAGTTTATGCGTGCAAAGTTTACGGTATAAAGTCTATGCACATGAATAAGAGTATTAGATTTTTTTTCTAATTTTTTTACTAGATTTGTTTTTTTTTTGAAATTTATGATGACTAGAAAAAATGCCCGTACGTTGCAACGGGTGAAGGTTATTTTAATCTTATTATTGTTACACGGTTTAGTTAAGGTGAAATTCTCTGTAGAAATTCACTTGGATATATACTTTTTCAGAAAATCATAAGATGCAATTAGGAGTCCAATCATCTCAATTTAGCATGCAAGTTTTTTTAAAGAAATTTCTTATACGACTCCTATATTTTCAAAAGCAAACAAATTTAAAAACTGACTCAAATATGGATATGTATTTTCAAAAACGAACGGACTTAAAAATCAACTTATACATGGATGACATACCAAAAATACCGGCAAAAACATTTTCCAAAAGCGAACGAATTTAAAAACTGACTCAAATACAGATATGTATTTTCAAAAGCGAATGAACTTAAAAACCTACTTATACACGGATAACGTACCAAAGTACCAGCAAAAATATCTTCAATTTTTATAATAGTAGAGAAGGAGAGAAGAGAGAGGAGTATAGGGGGAAGGGGCGGGTTGATCGCTGGGAGCGATCATCCACCCATTAAGGGCGCCCCACCTTCACGGCAAGCAAGAGCGTTGGGTGAGACACAAATGGAAATTGCTACGCATACGACAAAATTTGTACTCCCTTCGTTTTATTTTATAAGACGTTTTATTTTTTTCTTAGTCAAATTTCTTTAGGTTTGACCAAGCTTATATAAAAAGAATAACAGCATATACACTACCAAATTAGTTTTATTAAATCTAACATTAAATATATTTTAATAATATGTCTGTTTTGTATTGAGAATATTAGTATATTTTTCTATAAACTTGATCAAACTTAAATAAATTTAACTAAGGAAAAATTCAAACGTTAGTATAATTTTGGTACGATCCTACCATGCATGATTATTGATTGGGTGGAAACACGTTGCTCCCCATATTCGCCGCATACACACCACAGAGACTAAGAAGTATAGTACTCTCATCTTATGGAGTTTTATCGTACGTATAGCTCTGTTGGACACAAATCAATCAAGGTTTACCTTTTTCTCTCTTTTTTTTAAAAAGGGTACGTACAAAGGAGGATGTGCATGCATGCACACCACACCACCAACGCAGCTCCACACACGCATGCATGCATGTCAAACACACGCTTTAAGCTAGAGACTTGGGGTGTGGTTAGTTTACGCCAAAATTAGAAGTTTGGTTAAAATTGGAACGATGTGATAAAAAAGTTGGAAGTTTATGTGTGTAGAAAAATTTTGATGTGATGGAAAAGTTGGAAGTTTGAAGAAAAATTTTAGAACTAAACTCGTGGCCTTGGAGTATCTAAAGTCTCTGGTGCACAGGAAACGAACAATATCACTGGACGTACACACGTGTGATCTAAGCATATAGGACTCAACCCAGAGGCCACAGGGAAAAAACCGTCCCGGTGCGACGTCCACTGCATGATCCAAGGGTTAAACTTAGACGGGTAGCGTGGCCACTGACAAGCGTTACCATCAAGCCGAATATTATCGTGGAAGAAATGGTTAATTACTTACCTTAATAATAAGCGATCAATAAAATCTAGAGAAATCATTCGACGTTTACCAAAAGTTCTCAAGTTTTCATTGAAACTTCTTTTAAACTCAGTGGTAAGGTGCATGATGGTAAGCTCAGTTACCACGGTAAACGACGATAAGCATAAAACCCTGGATCAACTAGAACAAAACCAGTGGTCGGATGCCGTGCCGTCCCGAAACGGCTACCGCCGGCGAGAGCGAAATATGCGAGCGACCCAGCTGGGTGACGACAACTTCGATCCCCCCGGTCGGGTGACACACAGTGCGCGCCCCCGGGTCGGTTTCTTCCTTGACTCGATCTGGCTGGACCGAACCAACGGTTGGCTCCCCCGGATGCACGTGCGCCAGATAGAGAGAGCTGCACGGTGAAAAATAAAAATCTAAAGCTCATACTGTAATTTTTACTTGGCACGGGTCAAGTCAAGGCAAGAAGCAACCTGCAGAGCCGCTCGATCTGCGAGGCAGTTCGGCCTGTTTAGTTCCAAAGTTTTTTTTTCAAACTTCTAACTTTCCATCACATCAAACATTTCATACACATACAACTTTTCTATCACATCGTACTAATTTTAACTAAACTTCTAAACTTCAGTATGAAAACACATACAACTTTTCTATCACATCGTACTAATTTTAACTAAACTTGTAAACTTCAGTGTGAAAACACATTCAAGTGAATTTTATTTCTTGTCCTGTTTTATCTCTTTCCGTGCTTAATTTCTCCATCCATGCATTTTTTACATTTTTGTTTTTACTGGGACAATCTTCTGTAGCGACTGCGACAGTCTTATTCGATCTCATTTTTTCCAGGTCAAACGAAGACTAAAAGGCGAACTTCAGGAAAAAAATAAATTCCCCAGTTTCCTTTTTCAGTACCTACTTGCCAATTTCATGTTTTTTCTCGGTTAACACTGAACAATTTCCTGGTCTTTGGATGAAGTTTTCAGATGCAAAGCACAGGAATATGTGTTATATACAGCATCACCAATCCATACGTCATCACCATTTGCGAATCCGAAGAGAAAGAGACCCATAATATTTCATTCCATGCGAATTTTCTGAATCCCAAATGACAGGGACAATGGATTTTGCATGCACTCAATCTTGTACTACCATTCAATCTTTTGGTCAGTCAAGACAGATGAACAATGTTAGCACAAACTAGCCCACGTTCCGGATCAAACTTTACTTAGCTCAATGTCGTCGTGGTATGTACTACTACCAAACAGACAATACATTATACAGCTATTTTTTTTCCTAGCAACAAATCACAGCCGCAGCAGCGTAAGAACATCAGCATCACGGTGACAGGGGGAGGAGAAAGACGGCAACCGGAGGCGGCTAAAACGGTGCCCACAGGCGTCGCCTTTCAGAAGAACCATCACAAAGGAAGAACCGCATACTAACTGACAAACAGGGCATGATGCAAAACACAATGTGCACCAGAAAATGTACATACAACCGCAGCACGGGGTTTGAAGTTGCGGAGGATCAGAGGATGATGAGCACCGGTGGTGGCGCGCTCGCGTTTCTTCACCATGGAGTCTTGTCGCCTGGACCGGCAAGGATGATCTGCAAACAGTCATGGAGGAAAAAAAATCATGTAGTTGAGGTGTTAGCCTGAGAGCATAGCATGGCAAATTGGATGCAATCTGCAAGGAGTTAGCCTGAGAGCATACATTGCAATCTATGGCGAATCGCCGGGTGAGCATGATTGCGGTGTTGCGTTCTCTCGTCGTTTCGAAGGCCAGGACCATGCTGAGGTCATTCCTCGGCCGCCAGAACATCGCCTGAGAAGCTGCTTCACCGCCACCTCGGACACCGCATAGCTGAAATAGAATTATAGAACAGTTGGACTGTAAGGGAAAAAAAAAGGTACTATGTAACAATGGAATAGAAGATAGATATGACATTCCTGAACCCTACCTGCATTGATGACGAATAGAATTCCTTGGCAACCACTGTCTTTCCTTTAGAAAGCCTCATCCTCAATTTTCCAATATTGAGAACATGAACAGACTCTTTTGGCTGATCAATTCCATTCAACTGAAGCACAACAACCTGCCATGGGACACAAATTACTTGGTTACTAAACAAAGCAATAGTTAAGATAACCACTTGATGATAATGTCAAAATACAAAGCCCTAGAGAACCAAAATTCTGCACTTTCAGTGATTTCGAATATGGTTTAACAATCTTATTGCAATGCAAACTAAAGTAGTGGATGACATATTGAATACTACTGCAAGCATAGAGCAGAAAGCTTTGGAACCATGACAATACATACAGCTTATTTGGTGAAATGAATATGGTCGGAAGACTCTGAATTAAAAGCCTTACATCACACACAGCGTGAAAATAAATGGCATAAAGTGGTAAAGGATAGTACAATCATACATTGAACTCAGTTTCACGTTTCCTTACGAGTGTCTCTACATAATCGACCAATCCAGCGTCTGTCAAGAAACGACAAACACATGTTAGTCATGCAAGAAATGCAGATAATTTTACCCAAAGATGTTTTCAATTAAACAAACCAGGGTCTATTGGCCCAGCTGTCTTTGCTATAGCAATTTCACCACCATAATTAATTTCAGCTTCCAAATACCGTCCAACGTCATGTGGTTCGGGAGCATATACTGATCTTGTGGCACCTAATAAATCCAAGAACAAAAAAAAAGTCAGAAATACTGACACCCTGAACTATTTTTGAAAATCAAACAGTTGATAAAACTTATAAAACTCTAATCGTTTTTTTACGCAAATAAAACTCTAATCGTAAGCCAAAGTTACCCTAATAAGGCAGTTATATTTTACCAGGTTGTGGTTTTCCATATTTGCAATAGTTTATTAGTACTGAAAGGAAAAAAAAAGAAAGAAAGAACCTTTTCTGTGAAACTTTGTTTAGTGTTTAAGAAGACAATAATGTGAATTAAGATTAAGAAACAGATGTACCTTTTTCACTCAAAAAAGAGAAAGATGTGGCTTACTTTGTACAACATTAGAGAGAGAGAGAGAGAGTCCCACCTGAAATAATCTCTTTGTTACTTTCTTTTGGGTGTACACGGAACCACTGGATTGAAATATTTGAGAAATCCATGGTAGTACTGCTCTGAGAAACTATGCGTAGTATTGAGCCTAAGCATTGGAGACCCTCCAAATCAAACAAAGGGATATCATTTCCCTCTGGCCTTTTGTGCAGTTCCAACTGAAAAAAAAAAACAGTTACAATTAGTACTATATATGCATATTTTATTCTACTGTACAGAAAGATCTCTACCCAGTGGAAAGAAATATTTGGAGAAAAAAAGAAGGCACACACAACCACACGTAAACCAACTGAGCACCTGACCTCTCTCCAGATTGATTATCTGTTTCATTATTTATGTTCTTATTGTTGAAGTACACAATAGGTTATATCTTCAGGTTATTTTGTGCTCTTTCTAATTAGCTGTGAGGCAAGAGGTTGCAGTCCAAGCAATGGTGAACACAAAATTATTATCCAATTTAACCAACGTGGGAGATGGAGCTGGGTTAGACTGATTCAACCACACTGTTCAGGCCGATTCGACCACACCATGCTAGCCAAATGCTTTACTGATCCAATTGACAGGGCTGGACTGAACCAGGCTATTATTATGGCCCAAACCACTGGTTTGTTATGATGACCAGACAAAACTGGTTTAGATACACCTATTTACCTTTTTGTAATAGTTCATCCAAGTAGCACCATAAGAAGCATCTATGGTGTCACTGATTGATAATATTCAACATTAGCCAACCATGGCAAGGTCTTTGACATAGACTAAAACACACCGTGTCACTGATTGATAAGAATTTTCATTTATTCCAATTAAATGTTCAACTTGCTTGCTTATTATTCCCGTAGCATTTTAAAACTTACAGAAATAATGTGCCTGAATATCATGCCTATTAGAGATTGTATAGCTGTTTTATACATGCACACAGGTTGATGAGGCCTATTCCTAATGTTCCATGTTTGCTTTTGTATTTCATTAATTCAAGCACACGCTACGCTCTAGACATTTCACATGTTGAGCGATGTATGCTTCATGGCTTCAACCTTGGATATAAAGATATCTCGACCATGTGAAACAGGTGCAAAATTGGAAATAACTGAAGCCAGTATTGGTGATGTATACCTCTTTCAAAAGATTAACACAATCCGTGGACCTCTCAACGAACGTCTTACGCAAAATTTTGATCTCATTTTCCAGATCCATTGCCTAGAGAAGTCACTATATGTGTCATGCATGATATAAAAAAAATAGACTTGGCATATTTCATTCAGTACACCAAAATATTAAGAAGTACACTCAATTATACCTTGCTGGGGTAATGAAGCATTTTGATTCTTCGCGCCTCTCTAACTTCTTTCTTTAGTTCCTCCATATCCTTCCAAACAGCAAATAGAGGTCACATAAACGTTGTAGATTGAATGATTGAAAACAGAGTAAATGAATATGAATGTATGATGTTGACCTATGGACATGCATGAAAGAGCATATGAAAAGATGGTGATAGTAAAGTATAGCTGGTGAGTAGATGTTAAGAATTAGACTAAATGGACTTGCAGGTTTAGAAAGCTAACTATGGTAATTACGAACAGGATCAACAAACTAAATGTGTATGCAGAAGAAAAGCTGCACATGTGCATAACAACGCATTAAATAATTTGTGTGTGCTTCATTCTAAAATTCTTCCTGTAGAGGTACAAACAGATGAATAAGCCCTACGAATTGATTAAATGTTGTAATACACAATTTAGCTAAGAAAGATAACTTCTAAGAAAAAGAAGGTAAAAAAAGACATAAAGAGGAATCTGAGCAACTATGTTGGAAGTTGGAAGTGAAAACACATCTCACCCGTTAGCTTGTAGTAATGGAAATGCAGTGAACTAATGAAAGCAACGCACTGCTAAATTATATTTACATACTTGCTTTCCAGTTGTTCTGGACATCTTTTCATGTTCCTGAAGTGCTTGTTGAACTCTTTGCACAGAAGACCTAGCACTTTCAATCTCTGTATGAGCACTTGCCCTTTCTTCGTCAACGATTTTTTTGGCATCTTCAGAAGCCTACGAGCAAGAGGGGAAAATAGAACAAACTCAAAACTGTAGATAATGACAATGCACAAGTTATCTTAAGTTTGTAAAATTCAATGCTAAGTACTGCAAGTAAACATATTGGAACGTACAAGCTTTAATGATTTTGCTAATTCTGTGACTTCTGCCTTTTGCTGAAGCAGCTCAGCTTCTCTTTTGGAGAGCTGGACAGCAAGAATATCAACCTGCAAAATATTATTACTCTAATCAAACTGCCAAAATTAAGGAATGCACCTCCACAGGTAACTGGATTTTTATAAATAATAATTAACAGTAAGGGAATTGAAAGGACTTCAAATTTTAAATTAGGCTATGTGGAGCATAATATTTTATAAACAAATACAGTTAAATATAAATGCAGGTCAAGATGAAAGATAAACCTAAAGAAAATTATGCTTTACGTACAGAATACAAGGAAACCAACCATAGATATAGAGTCCTCAAGTTCAGCCTTAGTTTTGCCTGTCACACGGCCTCTCAGTGACTCTAATACAGTCTTTAGATTCTTCAGAAGGATATCACGCTCCAACAAAGCCACTTGTCTCCATTTAACCTGAGGTTTCGAGAAAGTCAAAACAAAAAATATATCTTCAGTAGTCTTTCAGTTACTCTTAAACTTCATTCCTCGTGAGTAGGTACCACATAACAAAAGTAATAAATTGTGTTTTCTGAGTTGGGAGTTGTGTTGAGTGGTGTGGGTTGTGTGTGGTGTGTGTTGTAGGGCTCTAGCCCCTTTCTCTCTTCTTAATATAATGAAGCGCAGTTCTCCTGTGTTTTCGAGGAAGAAAAAACAAAAGTAACACTGTGTAATTGTATTAGTTAAACTGAATAGTAAAGTCTGAACCTCATTGGACAGCAAAGTGGCAGTATTGAGACCCTTCTCAAACTTCATTGCAAGCTCACGGACTGACAGACGCTGACGATGATCAAGCATATCCGCAGTTTCCTTGGTGACAGTCTCCTTGAGAGATGGCATTTCAGGGCCATCAGCCAGCTTGACTACTATACCATTCAAACCATTTTTGTAGGTAGGAAATTTAGCCCTGATGATGTTTGCAGGACGTAACGGCCCAGGCCGTAAAGTCTCAGTCTGAGCCTTGCCTCCATAATCACGAGTCTGAACCTTGCCCCCATAATCAAGAGTTACTGCCCGGGTCATCTGTAGAATGAAAAACCTGCAATATTAGTCCCACAAAAAGAAGTTATTGCACAACTCACAACATTTACTGTATTAAATATGTCATGTGCCTGACTAGTTGATATTTGATGACTTCTCCAATATTAAAGAATGCCAAAAACAAACAAAAATGGAATTCAAGAATGCAAAGGTGAAAAGAGTTGGATGAACAACAAAATATGACCTAGTTGAGTTTTAGCACCTATAGTCTACAGATGCGTGAAACAAATTATATACATCACATTATCATATCTTTGAAATGACAAAACCAAGGAACAAGAGGTAGAAATATCTTGAGAAAGAAATAGGATTGAGAAAAATGAAAACATATTTTTTGTAACCAACAAGCACCAAAAGTATTAAACAAACGATAGAAAAATAACAGAGACTAGACCCCCACAAATAATAAATATATTGATTACACGCCAAGAAGTTTTCAGATCACAGATAATTGCAGGTGGTTGGGAAAAATAATGAAGCACAAATCCATCAACCTCTCATATTGTTCTTTTGTGAGGAAAACTCTCATATTGTTGACTAAGCTCTCAGCAAATTTGCATGAGAAATACTACCACCCTTGATTTTTATAGGGTATATTTTAATTTCACAAAGTCTTAAAGATTAACCTCTGACAATTGGTTTCCCATAAAATATATTTTAAATAGCTATGAAGCCGATATTTTGCAAAAAACAATACTTTGAAATATTAATCTATTGGTATAATTTTTATACAATAAATATACTCTTAGTTTGACTAATTGTTGATCAAATACATAAATTTGGCCTATTGAAACCAAAATAGGCCTTGTAAAAAACAGCAGGGGGTATCAAAGTAGAACCAACTACTTTGAACATCACTTTCTCTTGAATTACAATAAAAGGACAGTTTAAGGGGGAACCAGGAATGCAACTTTAATCAGTGAACAATGAAAAGGCATTCCTTCTTCCGCTTTACAGTTGTAGTGGTCCATCCCTTGCTGGTTAGGCAAAATAGAGAGCTAAGGAGGTGACTCAAGGTAGCAGCAGTACAGCATCTAATTCTGTTTAATTGGACTACGAGAAGATAAGATTTTTTTCACGGGGCAAGTAAAATAACAACAGTGGCATGGCTAAACTGTGTGGTACTGGTTTCGGAAGTGAAAACAGAATATCCAAAGAACTGAAGAACAAACTCTGCAGTTACTATTACTTTGGTAGACAAAAAAAAAAAAGTGGAACTCTGGATTGAACCATACGTACTGCAGATGTCTGGAAACAAATAGTAATATATTACTACAACTTTATACTTATATCAGCTCACCATCATATTATTTTCTACTAGTAGTAACAATGAACTTACTTAGAGCTCTTTTAGTAAAGCAATTCTCTGTAAACTAGCTAAGTTCAGAAAAGTGCTCTGCAGCATCTATTTACACCAGCTCCCATTATATATTTATATTATTTCCTGACAAGTAACCACTGAGACTATAAAGAAAAACACAAAGAAATTATCAGCTAATCACCAAAATGAGGCTACAAAGGTTGCTTAAAAAAAACATCGCAGCATCTTACGGCTGTACTAAACTTCAGGCGAAAGATACGGCCGCGTATCGTAGACCAAAGAACACTAAACAAAAAATGCAGAGTTTGCAACTCACTCATACTACTCGTCCCCCCCTCAACGCAAGCATTTTGCAAACTCAGCAAAGGGCCCCCATCACAGCATGATAATAATTAAACAATTGGAATACAGCTGTATCACTCCATCAGTTTGGAGGACGCTACACGGAAAAATTCCATTTCGTTGTTTTTTTTTCCTTCCCCTTGGTTCATGTACTATACTAACCGCCCAACTGCTCCATGCAGAATGCACAACTTCTTCCAACCAAAACAACGAAACCCCAGGATGGATTTGGCAGAACCAGAGCCAAGAACAGAATGCAAGAACTTTAGAACAGCTGCTAATCTCCGAAAAAAGATCCAAACTTAATTTGCACTCCCCGCAACACACCTCAAGAAAACAAACACCAAACAGAGAAAGAACAGAAAGAAACCAACGACACAAGAAACTAACCTCCCGCACGGATCTCCGCGGAGTTCTTGTGCCGATTCGGCGCCGCCAATGGGGATGACGAACTTGAGGCTGGTTTCCCGCGTGGTTTGGGGGATCTTGCGAGGAGGAGGGGTTGGTTACTTGGTTTGCGTCGAGAAGAAAGAAAAAAAAACGCTTCTTTTCTGCAGAGGGAGCTTTTGCTTTCTTCTCCTCTTCTCTCTCTCGTATCAAATGGGGGGATGAGGCTGAGGCTTGAGCTACTAGTCTAGTGCAGCAGCCTGATAGAGGGAGAGGGTGGCAGCTTTGAATGGCCTTATGCAATGAAGGCATCCTTTTTCTTTCTGCTAGGGCCACACAGCGTGCATCTTCTTTGTTGTTTCCTGCCTTATTAGAATGCAGCCAGGACCATTGCATTGCAATTTGCATAGGAGGAAGGGAAAAAAAAAAGGGGCTCATATCCTCACTTTGCTCGCGGCTTTATTTAGGTGGGCATAAGAAGAATCTGTCCATGTATATGCCAGTGTGGTTTTAAAATAGTTCATAGATATGAAAAAGGAAGAGCATAGTTTTGTAGTATGTGCGAGGTTGACGGAATGTTAATTTTCTCTGTATTTCATTGTATGTCACTAGTAATATGTTGTGCTTTGTAACGGGTCAGGTCCATATAATTAGAGATCGGTTGGGTGGGTGGATTGAGGATAACGTATGAGCTAGGCCAATGTAATTGAGGATTGACTAGGTGGGTGGATTGAGGAGAAAGTACGGATTCTACGGTGGTTACGCACACATGACGAAGCACAAAACCTCCGTGCAAGAGGAAGGAAGGAGACAACTGCGATTTTTAAGTTACTTTGATATGACTAAAAGGCTAAAATAATTGTTCAGTATTTTACAAAAGAATTATTGGTTAGAAAAATAATAGTACACTGTTACAAAAATAGCATAGGAGACTACAAGATTAAGTGAACGTATCATAGCAGTATACTTATTTGTAGATGGTAGATTAAATAAGAAAGTTGATAAGTTAATTTAGAAAGATTTTGCAACAATTATACGGTTTAAAAAGCTTAGAAAATATGCACGCGATAATCTTAATTTATAAGATACAAACCACACACCCAATTAAACTAGGTTGCAAGGTAGTATGCCATTCATTAGACTTGTAGCAAAACATCTATCAAAATTTCATGTAGTTATGTTGTACTCTCTCCGTTCTGTTATACCAACATAACCATGGAAGCATTTTTCCATGCATGATAATTAATTGATAAGTGTACTAATGTGATAAACATTTTTATATTACTAGTTCAAGCTTTTAGATTTGTCTGCACGTTCTGTTATCTATTTAAGAACAAGGTGTTATATGCATTATGTTAATTATATTAATATATGTGTAGGTTTATCCTTTTTTCTGTAGTTATCACTCAGTTAATAGATTATTATCATTTATGTTAGATATGGATTACCATTTAAAAGACATAGCTATAGTATCTTAGTGATCTTTAACAATGGTTCAATATCAGAAGGAAAACAAGTAAACATGGAAGTAGGTAACTAGAAGAGAGATAGACATAAAAATAATTTTTTTTTGCGGGGCAGACAAAGATTTTTTTTTTCCAAGAGGTTGACCTCATGTGAAATCTTTTCCAAAAAATTTCTACTCACCCTATCCTAGAATAAGTTTTTTTTAGCTCCTTGTGTTTGTTCCAAATAAGTTTATTTTCTAGTGATAACTATATCAGAATTTGTGAAATAAAGTGGAGAGTAATTGTATTGGGATTTGATAAAGTAGGAATATTCATAGTTTTATTGATATGTGTGAAATGGGTAAAAAAGAACTTACTCTCTCCGTCCCAAAATATAGCATTCTAGCATCGGACGTGACATATCATATTTCTACGAATCTGAAGAGAAGGATATGTCCAATTCAATCCTAGATTCCTATATTTTAGGGTAGAGGGAATATTCTGGAACAGATGGAGTATGTTTCAAACCAATCTAAAGGAATATTGGATGGTTATTTCTTTGATCAAATAGCTATATTCGAAAAAAAATTTAGGATTGAATTCTTAAAAATCTGTTGTTGTTCGAAAGAAGCCATCCTAATTGGGTTATATCTATAAGAGCAATTACAATAGCATGCTATAAGCTACTCCCTCCGTCCTAAAATATAAGTATTTTTGAACTCTGACACGGTCACCGAGATGCTATTTTGATCTACAATATCTATAAAAGTAAGATGTTTTAAATAAAAAGAGTTGCATATTATGATAGTTTGTTTAATGATAAATCTAGTAATATCAATTTTACATTATTGATCTTTTTTTATTTTTTTTGCTAGTAATAGTCAAAGTTAAAAATGTTTGACTTGTCACTATGCTAAGAATGCTTATATTTTGAGACGGAGGGAATAGTTACAAGCACATGTACTCCCTCCGTCCCAGAAAAAAAGACAATCCTTGGGTTTCCGTGTTCAACGTTTGACCATGCGTCTTATATGAAAAAAATTAAAAAGATAAGTCATGCATAAAGTATTAATCATGTTTTATCATCTAACAACAATGAAAATACTAATTATAAAAAAATTTCATATAAAACGGACAGTCAAATATTTCACACGGAAACCAGGGTTTGTCTTTTGGGGGGGCAGAGGGAGTAGATGAGAGGTTAGATGAGGGAGAAAAAACGGACTAAGATTTATAGCCAGCTACAGCATGAGTTTTAAGATATTATGTGTGAATAAGAGGTGGATCAGATATATGTATATTTATAAAACTGTTACTGCATGATGAGCAGGCTATTAGATTGATTGTAGATGATGTGTTAATTTTTTTGGTTAACGGTTGGCTATATGCTCTAAACAGTACTCCGGTGGGGGGTAAATCGGTTTGGGACGCCAAGGTTCATCCACCCCTCGTTGCAAAAGGGAGCAGGGTCCGAGTCCGACCAAGTTACTGTACGGTACCCCAGTGAAGCAGTGGCTTCCGCTGTAGCAACACACCAGCCAAGCCCCCCGCGGCCGCCGTGTGGTGGGCGTGCGTGATAGCCAGCCTTGTCCCCATTGACGGGCTGGGCTGACCACCAAATCACGTGTAGGCTAATTCACCCCCCACAACCCGCAGAAGATCCGGTCCAGCGGGCCCAGCGCCAGCGAAGGGAGCTGCAAAAGGCGATCGCCCGTGGGGGCCCACGCGTGCCGCAAATCCCGGAGCAGCGAATCCCGCCCGTCCGTTCGTTCCCGATCGGACGGACGAGGGATCGCTTCCGCCCGGTGGCGCGAGAAGCTAGTAGGCCGGTAGTTTTTTTACCCGCCGCGGGCCGTGCCCCTTTTGCGGATAGGCCCCTCGCCTCCTCCCTTATTCCGTGGGAGCCCCTCCGCCGCCGTCATCCTCGCCATCGCCGTCGCCGTCGCGGATGGGTGGTTGCTCCGCCATGCTGCGCTATCTGCATGTTACATGTCGGGATATGATAGCTACTAGTAATTAATTAATTAAGCTAATACAGGCCCATGCTATCCCTGCATGCACACTGGGTTGATGTTGAGAGGCGAGGTCGTCTTCTGTGTCATCACGGCTTCATTACTACGTATCCTGAGATTTTCGCTAAATCTAATCATCCAATGAACACGATCCGTACTCTGTACGTAAGTTATTAGTTACTGACACAAGGAAAATTCAGTTTCTGAAAAGGCATTGACAACTTGTCACCACGCGAAACTAATTTAGTACTAGAAATTTTCCCTTTTCCAACTTTCGCTGATCTAAAACTCAGTCCTTTTCTATCACATCAACATATCATACACACATAACTTTTCAGTCACATCATCTCTAATTTCAACCAAAATCTAAACTTTGCGCTGAACTAAACATAAACACAGCCTATAGCTAGTTACTGAAGCTTCATTGCACCGCAATCACAATAATTCCAACCCCAACCAACAGGCTACATGCTATAAACAAACTACTCACTAGCAGCACTAGTGAAACAGTGATATATATATGTGGAGTTTAGGAGAACAAGGACGGCAAAAGGCTCGTCTCTCATCAGTGGTTAATTAGCAACACTGTACATGGAGGAGGATAAGGTTCCTTTGGATTGAAGGAATTCTATTAGAAATTTCAAGGATTTTATTCCGAGCCCCTATGAGTAAAAGGAGTAGAAAAACGAAGGAACATGAAAAAGGTAAGATTTTTTATAGGAATACAACTGTAAAAATAGAGAATTGTAAAATATATGAAAGTTGTGTTACTAGCCCTTTGAAAGGGTATAGAAATTTCACAGGAAAGAGAATGTTAGGAAGTACTTCCTCCGTTTCACAACATAAGACTTTCTAGCATTCCCCACATTCTTATTGATGTTAATAAATCTAGATCTATATGTGTATAAATTCATTAACATTTACATGAATGTGGACAATGCTAGAAAGTCTTACATTGTGAAACGGAGGGAGTATATTAATACATGTCACTTTAGTCTTATCTACAATATCACAATATACATTTTCTTCTAAAAGAACAATAATGATGCACAAGTTTGTCATTTACCTCGATCCTATGTACACATGATGAAAAAAGAGGTTAGGGTGGTTGTTTCTTTTTTCTATGTTTTCCCTGTGAAATGAGTTTCAAAGGAAAATTTACTCTAACTTTCGTATGCCTAATCCGGTGAATCAAAGACTGCTACAGTGCCAAATCCTAAATCCTACATTTTCCCCATGAAATTCCTATGAATCCTGAAAGTATTTCCTATTAGGTCTTTTAGATCAAAGGAATGGAATTTGCAAAATCTAGATCTATGCCCTCTCGTTCCATAGGAAAACAAACATGAGCTCCTAGCTCATGTATTTATTTTCTTTTAGAAGTACCTAATGCACTTGCTCTCTCTACACTCTCTCTAAATGCTTGAGAATTCTTGTGTTTTATTTCCTGCGACCTATCTAAAGGTATTGTTTATTTGTTTCCAGTATTTTTGTGTTTTTAAACCCTGTATGATTTATTTAATGTGTATGACATGTTATTCATGTGTTCTTAAAATTCTAGTAGTGTGTTCCAAAAGAGCCGTCGGAATTGAACCCTTTAACACGTAAGGACACATGTCATTTTGTGTCGAGACAAGATGACCCATGCAACATCTCGCCATCATCGATCGTTGCCGGCCGGTCTCTGTGCTGCAGTGCACAGAGCACACAGTGCAGACTGCAGACATGTGATATATATATATATATGATATATATGTATATATATATATGTATATATATATATATGTATGTATATGTATATATATGTATATATATATATATGTATGTATATGTATGTGTGTGTGTAAATTGCATCCACGGTACAATAACTTGGCAGGTAGGTGCGATATAGTGCAATAACTTAAGAATTGAACGTCCGAGTGCAACAACTTGACAAGTGGGTGCGTTCTAG